TGAAATACTCTCACATTCACTACTGAACACCTCTCACACACACACAACTGAAAATTAAACCTCGCACACATACTACTGAAAATTAACCTCACACACACACACACAACTGAAAATTAACCTCACACACACACTCCTGAAAACATTTTACTGAAAGGTTCTCAGTAGGGAATGTGCATGTGTTTCACCTATGTGTGTGAGGGGGATTCTTGCTGTAACGGAAGTCATTGTAATGAAACGGAAGTATCAAACTGCTAGTGGTCTCTCTGCTAGCTCTGTTAGCCCCGTTAGCTTCATTAGCTCCAGGCTGCTACAGGGGCTCAGCTGATCCGGAGAACACAACTTGAACTCGGACGTGTTTGTTGTGTTGATGCCTGGTGGAGTATTCTTCATTGAAATATCGCACTTATCTTATGGCTCTGCGGTTAAAACAGACCGTCCATGAATGCAATTTCAATTTCTTACTGGTGTTTTTATTCAGTTAAGCTACATCTGTGCTAACGATGCTATCCGTAGAATCCAAGTTATAATAGAGAAGTACATAATAGAGAAGTGTAAACAATGTAAGAAGGATTATACTGTAGAACAAAAGGCTTCTGTGTGACGATGGTAAAATCGTCACACAGAAGCTTTATGCATTGTTATTGTTAATTTAAATTAGCTATGCTCGACGATGAAGACAGCTAGCGTCACAGTAGTGTTGAAGACCAGCGTACTGTATATGAGATTAACCTCACTATAAGATCTGTGTATTTAAAAAATATGAATCTCACATTTCCCGTTGGTTCCAGAAATAACGTTAACGTAGATATTGCAATATGGTTTGTTGAGCTGGAGTTGATTATTGAAGCTTACTGGTTAACGTTCATCATATTAAACGAACCCAAATCTTTTTATTTTATAGAAAATTCAGATTGAACATAGTAAGAAAATGTAAATGATTGTGTCCGTCAAAAATAAACTATTACTGATAGTGAAAATCACCCTTGGATGATGGGATCGGAGACTAAAAGCTTTAGGAATCCAAAGTACAACATATAATAAGTACCCTGTATCAAGATTGATGCAAAACAAGTGACATTTGACCTTTTTAGAGAGGTTTAGCAAAGAAAACTCCACCTCTGGGGTCATTTGGGTGGAAATGGGCGTATTTGCCTTTTCTCTGGAACCCATTGGTCGATTTTGATGATTGACATCTCTTTTGAACCGTTAGAGCCAATAGAATCGAAGGGGAATTTCCACATACACATACGTTACCATTGAGAAGTCAGAGCTATGCGCACGCAGTTTGCCCAAAGCGAAACCGCTCTGAAATCTGAAAACTTAAAAACTAGGTTTATTGCTGATGGATTATCAGAAATAATTTCAAAGTGACAGAGACACATTGGATTAACCTATGGATTAACCTTCAGCAGCGTTTTTATCGTTTTAATGCCATTGAAGACAACTTTTGATCAGACAACAACAAAGGTAAGACATATTGCCGTGTTGGCTACCTAATGCCACGTGTTGTGATGTCTGTTTTTGTTTCTCATGTCGCGAGTTTTGATCATGGAGTGATGATACCGATACCTATCGAATCTGTGTAATCTCACGATGCTAATCGCTGGGTTAAAGCTGCATTTACGATAAGTAATAAGGGTTTTACGAGTGAGTTCTGTGCTAACGGCGTGAGCATTTTTTCGCTCAGGGCTAATTCAGAGGCTCACCGTTAGTCTTTCTTGCTAAAAATGGTTCATATCATCAGTTAGCTGAGTTTCTTCCCGTTACATGGATATGAAACATTCATAGTTTATTAAATCTTAAGAAGCCCTCAGACACTGTTGCTTGCAGATATTGTGGTTTCTCCCCCGCCCGCGGGGGAATGGGGCTTAACAGAAAAATGGCTCAGTCAATGCTTTAGGGACAAGGAAATGATTTGTTTAAATATTAGATATGACGTTATGTGTGCTTTTGTGACAATTAAGCGTATTCATTGCATTACATTTGTTAAAGATGTTTGTCTTTTACCCTTACGTGTGTGTTACAAATGAATGTGAATATGGCATAGGACAAATATTTAATTTGAATGTCTCATGAAAAAAGATTCCAAAATAACAGTACAATTAAAAGGACCCCAACTATACAACAATACACAATCCAACTGATAAGATACAGTAAGGGCTGTGATATCCAGCACTTTTTATAAGGATAACAAAAAAATTATGACATGATGTTTGCATATAAAAAGGTCTGTGACCAACACATGTTACTTTACATATATATATATCTGTTTGTTTAAAGTTTCCAGGTGATGCAGACAGACCAGAGGATGCTGAACACGAGAGACAGACCTATATTCCTAAAGGCAGTGAACTTCAGCATGGAGTCAAAGGTACAAAGACCCCTTTCATACTGTACAAAGAATCGAGAAATGTTCTGGTTTAAATAGATAAAGTAACAACTATAATACACTGATATACATTCCATTAAACATGACTAAATACTGACATCAGGGAAGTTGAGTGTTCCTTGCTTGTAAAAAGTTACATTTCGATTTTACTAAGCAACATGATTCTTTTGTCAGCTTTCACATTTCAATGTATTTAAGGCAATTATTATTTTACATTGTGAGAATTGCTACCATTTGTGTCTACATATTGTCTGTAAAAGACGTGGTAAAAATGGTTCTTGCAGTGAGACAACCGAACAGCATGATACTACATTTACACTAAGTTCTGATAACAGTTGAATATTATTTTAATAATAACGTATATTTTAATGTTGATTAACTGCAGACTGTTCATTCATAATCTGATTATCTTTGTAGTACAATGTGATGAATTTAAAAAACACATTAAAATAAAAAATATATAATTTCTACAGCTGCTTAATAAACAAACCTCTTTCATAAATAACACACTTGCTCTGCAATAATTAGGTTTTATGTTTCTTGTCATTTCTGTTAGGAAATGACATACCTGAAGGACACAACTGCCACACAGTTTTCTCCGAGGGGCAAGAAGAAAATGAAAAGCTGATATGAGATTAAAGACCAATACAAGACATTCACTAAGAAACTACACTTTTATTGTGAACACAACGATCTGCACACTGAATAGTGTGTAGTCAAACAGGACCATCATTTGTTTGTGACAGCTGTGCCCAGTATGGGCTCACATATGCAGTTTGGTGGTTTTCTTCATCCGGCCTGGTCCTCCTCCCAGAGAAAGACTGCTCCACCTCAGTCTTCTCCGGCCAAACCCACAGACAGGACATCCATCACACTGAGGTTCCTCCCAAAGTCTCTGCAGCTCTCTGGATACCACGCTGTCTCAATTGATCCACACTGTGAATATGAGAGGGGAAAATGTGTGTAATAAATGCGTTAGACAAAAATAAATATGAAGTTAACTGTTAGGAGTGGCTCAGTTTTTTTTTTTTAAATAAACAATACTATTACTGTATTTTAACGTCTGAAAGTTTAATTTAAAGTGGACCTATCATGCTATATTTCAATAATATATTGTTGGGCCATACCTATATAAAACATGTCTGTGAAGTTTTTTTTTCAAAATACCAAACAGATCATGCATTTTAGCCATGCCTCATTTCGCTCTATTTGCTCTTTTCCAGCCCTGTTTTTGCAAGGGCTGATTCTGTGAGAAGTCTTCTTCGCTGCTTTTGTGGCAGACTACAGCGCCACTTACAGGCCTGGCATATGTACTACAGCGTCTCCAGCGCTTTCGAGCGACAATGGCTGTGGCCGTGGCCCAACCCCCCATTCCCCTGATAGGTGGAGAGTTGCCCATATAGGTGGAGCTCCCTGTTTCTGACGTCAGAACAATTTCAAATCTGTATCAGCTCCGTTGCAGCCCCGTTTTTAGAGATTTGGGTGTGGAGGAAAAGAGAGAGGGTTGTGTTTTCTGACACTTGGTGAGTTCCCTGACACACCAGGGACACATATGGTCAACGTCTTGGTCAACGCCAGGCCCCTTCATAAAGTTTTATCTCTTGGATATGTCTGGCTCTTTCTCAGCGTCTGTGCTTGCTGGGGCAACACAGGACTGGTGAAGAGGCAGGGGCTGTGGGTTAGTGGGCATCTGACCCCCTCCCCGGGCGTAAATGCGCTTACGTTTTTTCCGGGCCCCCTGGAGGGTCGTCATAAATCACTCTCTTATCAAATCAAATCAAGGTTTATTTATAAAGCACATTTAAAAGCGATTTTTGGTCGGGCCAAAGTGCTGTACATGTAATAAATACTACAATCACATAAAAACACATTTCTACAATCACAATAAAAGACAATAAATTACAACAGATATATAAAAAACACAGGGAAAAGTCAGGAGTCGTGCTCCGCTCTGACTAAAAGGCCAGGGAGAAGAAGTGTGTTTTAAGAGTAGATTTAAAAACCCCTAGGGTCTGGGCCGACCTCACATGGAGGGGCAGAGTGTTCCAGAGCCTAGGGCCAGCTGCTGCGAAGGCTCGGTGCCCTCGGGTTTTGAGCCTGGTCTTGGGCACTACCAGCAGCAGCTGGTCAGCAGACCTTAAAGCTCTGGCTGGGGTGTAGCGCTGGAGGAGTTCAGCTATATAGGCCGGAGCCAGCCCATTTAGTGCCCACTTATCAGGTACTTAATCTCATTTTGACCAAAACAGTGGTCTTTCAACTACTGTCAATGTTTGTAGTTGACAAGACTTCTCAGATAGCCCGTATCTATGCAGAGGTTAACTGGTAAAAGCTACAGTTTGTGTGTCTTATTTTGAAGGAAATCTTATCGAGAGATTGTTTGGCAATGTGTGTTTAAGGAAAAGCACAATACACTTTAGATAATAATTGGACATAATCACTGTGAAGTCAGTGGATTGCAGAATAAGCCTTGAGTTTGGCATTTGGACTATTGACACGTAGTTTTTTTGGAAGCAGATATGACACGAGAGGCTGAAGCTAAGTATAACCCAACACTGAAACAAGACATTTTACAATACACCTTAATTAACTAAATAAAACACTGTAAAAGGGATTAAGGTTTTAGGAATAAACATGGAGAGGAAGCCATGCACGTCCTTTATTGTCTATGTACTGTAAATGGGACCATAGATTACTAAAGGAACATCTTGCTGCACATTAAAAATTTGTTTTGAAACTACAAACTCGTTAGGAAAATCTTTAAAACAAATTGAGATAATGAACATTTAATAGACTTTTGTTAGCTTATCCTTTCAAAACCAAGGGTTGCCACTTCATTTGCCCTCAAGCTAATGCAATTTTGTGAAATGTTTCTGTTTATTGACATTAGCTGTTCTTGTTTGACTGTGGTTTATATGGGTTTTTGTTGGAAATGTCACCCCTGAATTGAAATCCAGTACATCTACACTGGGAGCAGATAGACAACAATAAACACACTGTTGCATCACAAAATGTAAAACATTTGTATTGATTGAGCCTTGACATCCCACATCTCGCATGTTGTTTTCTTTCTCCCTTGGCTTCTCCTTGTGTCTCACTCTCAGCCTCTCTTCCGCTGCCTCTCTCTTCGACATTTCCCACCGCCGCCTCCTGTCTCCTTCAATTTCAATCTCCCTCTGATTTCCCCTCTCCTGTAGTTCTGTGATGGGAGATCACAGCCTAGGAGTATGTGGAGAGAATATCGTTGATCCAAGGCATCAGAGAGCAGACTTTGGTGTAAACTCCCGGGTAGTTGGGTTGAGCGCAGCCCTGGCCCCAGGACACGACACCCTGCAGCTCTCCGTTACACACCAGAGGACCACCAGAGTCACCCTGAGCAGGAGAGAGACATCACTTTATTCCCTCCACCTCATTCAATATAAACTCATTGTATGTGCCGTGTAATTGTTTGAAAATACCTGACAAGCATCCTTGCCTCCCTCCAGGTATCCAGCGCACACCATGCGGTCAGTGATCAGGCCGGGGAAGGAGCCATCGCAGTCCTTGTGAGAAAGGATGGGGACTTCCACACACTGGAGGTAAAATGGGTTGAACACTGCAGATAAGAGCGAGACAAAATGATTAGGAGGGACACAAAAAACACCCCAATTCAGCCTTATATCATGTGTTAAAATGCACCGATGTATTAGTGACTCCAGACTATCAGAAACATGCATTGTTGATTGTACTGTATATAGCATCACTCTTTTCCAGCTTGATTTCTCAAATTACATGTTTTCTGTCTTAAATGGCAAACATCACCATCTATTAGTTTTAAATAATCTGCCATAAGTGCTATCATACTACAGTAACCATAACTAGCTAGGACACGTTTGGCTTTGGATTTTGAATACTATATAGTCATTTCATGCAGTATGTAGCCATCAAGTGCATTGCCAACATTATACTGGCTTCACTCGCTTTTTAGGATGGTTCCTAACTGAGGGAAAGGATCCAGCAGCCATTATAAAAGTTTGGCGAATCCTTTTGAACGGTAGGGAAATGTGCTTTAATGTTTCCTCTCATCATAGGGTGAGCTACAATATTCTGTTAGTCCTCAAGCAAACTGTATACATCACAGTTTGCTCTCAAATACATTCTTATGAGACAGTCTTAAGCATTAGATGATTGCTTACTGTTATCTTTTTTCCTCTTGGTACATGTTTTATTTCATAAAGGTTTTATAGGTTTTTGCGCCAGTAGGTATGGTGGTCTGTTGCATCCGAGGTAGATGAATTAACAGCAGTTAAGAAACTACTGTTATCAATACTCAATGGTTTATTAAAGGCTTTGGTTATATTACAATTTAAACCTATGGAAGGCCATGGGTGCAATATTTTATCAAGTTGTTTTTCTTCATTTTTTATTTCATAAAGGTTTTATAATCTTTAGCGGCAGTAGCTAAGCATGGTGGTCTGTTGCAAGTGAGGTAGTCCACTTAAACTTAAACTTGGGGGTTCCAATGGGGGTCCTGCCAACACCATGTCCTGTCCCGTTGGGGGTCCCGCCGACTACTGTTCTGCCGGGCGTCCTGCCAACTCCTTGTCCTGTTTCGTTGGGGGTCCCGCGGACACCTGTCCTGTTGGGGGTCCCGCTGATACCGGCCCATGTTCCGTCCGGGGTCCCGTCTACGCCTGTCCCGTCGGGGGTTCCGTCTACACCTGTCCCGCCGGCTCCGGTTCCTGTCCCGCCGGGGGTCCCACCAGCTCCTGCTCTGGCGATCCAGCTGACCCCGGAGGGGCCTCATCGCGGCCTACGCCGCCTTCCTGCCCGTCCTCCGGAGCTGTTTGATTTTGTCCTGTCTAGATCTGTCTCTGGTTTCCTGTTTTATTTTGAAAAGTGTTCATACCCTGTCTTGTCTGTTGCTTCCTGTCTCTGTGTTCCATCCTGCCTGATTACCCGATTGTGTTCACCTTGTGCCCCTGCGTTTTCTCCTCCCTCCCCACCTGTGTCTTGTTCATGTGATTAGTCTTGTGTGCATTTAAGTTCTGGTTTTTCTGTCTGTCATGGTGAGATTCTTAACGCTGTTGGAAGGGTTTATGTTCTGAGTGACTTTATGTTTTGCCTTGCCTAGTTTTGACTTTGTTTGCCTCGCCTAGTTCTGGAAATAAAGGATTCCTGCTTTCAAACCTATTTTCTGCATTTGGCTCCTGCGTACCTTGCCCTCCAGCCGTAACACCTTGGTCCACATTTTAAATAAGGTGCACAGATGACATAACCACGATTGGGCCGAAGTGGGCAAACACAAAATGAGGAGTGTGATAAGAAAGTACATTTGGTTTGAAACTGAGTGCCAAGACTGTGAGGACACAGATTGGGTCAAGAGAAATAGGGGGGAGAGGAGAGGAGGAGGCAGGGGGGCGGTCAGGTGAGGGGGACGAGCACTGTGGGGCTGCTGGAATATAAATTTGAGCCGAGGTGTGTGTGCAGGAGTCTTCTGAACATTCACCTGACACCATGAAACTCTTGGCTCTGCTGCTGCTGATCGGAGCTGCTGGTAAATACACAGTAATACAATAGTGTTAATTTTGTCAGCTATTTTTTTATTTAGTCTTAGTCTTAGTCCTGTATCAAATGTCCTTTTTAGTTTTAGTCATATTTAGTCACCTTCATCCTGTTTTTATTTAGTCAAGTTTTAGTCGACTAAAAGTCTGAGCATTTTAGTCTTATTTTAGTCAAAGAAAACTGTTGACATTTGAGTCTTTTTTAGTCATCAGATTATATAGAACATTTCAGTCAAACTAGTCTAGCCAAAACCAATAATTTGTCATTTTAGTCAAACTTATTTCACAATAAGATTATATCTTATCCTTATTTGATGAAAAACACAGGTTGAATGATTAAGAATGATATTAGACAGAATGATATGATGATCTCCGCGCTACGGGTGCTGCATGCATGCAGTGACATGTCATATCCAAGGTTTAGAGACGGTTGGATGCTGCTGTTTTGAGCATTGCAATATATTTATTTTCACTATGTTATTTATTTATGATTATCTTTAGGCTCAGCAAAGATTTGATGTCAGCTGTTGCTTACTCTTTAGTTAATACTGAAATAGAGCCCTGCTGGCTTTTTCTTTGAATACTATTTTAAAATGTTGATACAGTAGCTGTCCTTTTCTTAAATGTCTATGCTAAAATTTGTATAAGTGTTGCTATCTGCTTTGTGTAGCGTGGTTCTACAAGCAAGTCAGTGCATTCATTGGGTGGTATCAGAGACTCAGAGATACAAGGGTCTGTAAATGCAATGAAAACTATTTGCCACAGCAAATCATTTATATTCAATTCATTACAAAGGATGTATTGAATACTTTAAGTGATATATGTACATATAAATCATTTGTCAAAACAGGGCTAAATTTGATTAAATTATAAAAGGTATATTTGGTCAAATGAAGAGCCGTTTGGGAGCCGAAAGAGCCGGCTCTTCTTGGTGAGCCGAGCCAAATGATCCGGTTCACTAAAAAGAGACGGAAGTCCCATCACTACACACAGCTGCTGCCCAGCCGCAGCATCAGAAATGGAACTGCTGGGAGAAAAACTGACTATCAGATGTAACGTTATCTTTGATAATATTTCGTCTCCTCCTTTTTCGTCAACGAAAGTAAAGAGAGATTTTGGCAACGTTTTTATTTAGTAAACTACATTTTCGTCAACGATATTGCATGTTGATTTCGTTACAGTTATTGTTTACTGACGTCGGTGCCGTCTCTTCATCGTCTCGTCTTAGTCATGGAAAAAAGGTCGTTGTAGAACATATTTCGTCATAGTTTTAGTCAACGCAATTAACACTATAATACACACATTCACAAAGATACACACACAAACAGTAAACAGTACATAGAAAACATACTGTAGTGTAAGATATTAAATAAAAAAGATGAATGGTTGTGGTTGAAGATAACTTTAAAACACAAATGTATCTCTTTCTCTGTGTGTGTGTGTGTGTGTGTGTGTGTGTGTGTGTGTGTGTGTGTGTGTGTGTGTGTGTGTGTGTGTGTGTGTGTGTGTGTGTGTGTGTGTGTGTGTGTGTGTGTGTGTGTGTGTCTGTGCGTGTGTGAGACAGCTGCAACAGCGGCAACACCTGCATTGATTTTTGCTGCCACAGCTGCAACACCTGCAACAGCTGCAACAGCTGCAACACCTGCATTGATTTTTGCTGCCCCAGCTGCAACAGAGGCAACACCTGCATTGACCTGCACACAAAAAGAGATTGTATTAAAATGTCTGACTCAACTCTTAAATACATTTTCATTTGTAACACCTGCAACACCTGCAACACCTGCAACACCTGCAACAGCGGCAACCCCTGCAACAGCTGCAACACCTGCATTGATTTTTGCTGCCACAGCTGCAACAGAGGCAACACCTGCATTGACCTGCACACAAAAAGAGATTGTACTAAAATGTCTGACTCAACTCTTAAATACATTTTCATTTTAAAATAATGATATATATTAACTTCTAGCCTTTCAAACAAAGGTGTCACTCAAAGCATTACTAATTGCTGCATTGCAATAATAGCTGGAACTGTCATTTATGTGTTCTGCAATAACTTACTGAATGTCTGCTATGAAAGGGTCTATGAATAGGATTTATTTGGGGTAAGAAATACAAGATGTTAGCAAGGATTATACGATTCACGCCAGCAAGATTTACTTATAAGTAAAAGACATTGTGGACAGACTTTTGCGAGTGAAGGAAATTTGCATGAAATAACAGAATGAGACACATCCATGAAAAAAAAAAGATATGTTACAAAATAATTTTGTGCAACAGGGAAGACTTGCCATGTATGTATTGCTGTGTGAAAGGGAACCATAGACTTATCATGATATTTTACAGTTTTTGAGACACATAATGTTTCAAGTGGAGAATAATCTCATATATAGTTTCAAAGAATGTATGTGCACAACACAAGTTTATAAAATGCCAGCCCTCTGAGAGGAAGATGCAGACTTTGCTTCTGTGAGATATTCAGCACTGCTTAAAACAGAACCATACTAATCAGAAATAGGTATATACAAATAAACACAATGCAATATTAAATAAACAAAGGCATGACAACCACAATCTCAAATGTAAAAAATCATTGCATCTGCAAACGTTGCAACGCTGATTCCCTCCAATATCCATCTCCAGATAAATCTACATCTCAAGATCACTATGTCAGTATTCAGTTAATAAGTGAGCCACATCTTGCATAGCTTTGGCCTTGCAGACTGCTTCCTGTACTCTGTTTTTTACAGATCATTTTCTGCACCTACCACCTAAATAAATGGGTCTATTTTTTAAAGTGGTGTGTATCTCCCTTTTTTTTGCAGACATTTTTTATTTAATAATGGTGGAACGTAAGAGCAGAGAGCAGCGTTGTTAAACACTTTTTTGTTCACGAGCCACATTCATCCCGATTTTATCTCAAGTGGCGTGGACGAGTAAAACCATTGCATGATAAATAACAACACCTCCAAATGTTTCCCCTTATTTTAGCGTAGAGAAATGCATTAACATTCTGAAAATGGTCAAAATAAATGCCTTTGCAAAACAGATGATAAACAGCCTGACGTTATAGGTGCAATTTCAACAATACTATATATATATAGTATCCACACTCACTCTGTCTGACGCCGAAAAGCTTGTCCATGCCTTTGTCTCCTCCAGGCTGGACTACTGCAATGCACTCCTCATCGGGATCCCTAAGAAAAGTATCCAGAAGCTCCAGTACATCCAGAACAGCGCTGCTGGATCCTGATGAGGGTGCGCAAATATGATCACATCACCCCCATCCTTAAATCACTACACTGGCTCCCCGTGGAACTGAGGATTGAATACAAGAGGCGCGTTCACACCGGAGTACTTTTCCCACAATAGTTCATCAGAACTACGATATATTTGCGTTCACACCAAAAAGCCCCAGGAACTAAAGTAGTTCAAATGAGTTCATCTGACCCGCTTTTCAGTCCCTGCTAGAGAGCAGGGACTGAAATCTTTTTTGAAGGCCGCCATTGTATTTGCTCGCATTAAGCTCAGCACAGCGCACCAACGAGTGGATTACTTTTGTGAAAGCAGTTATTATGGCAACACTAAATAAATCATCGGAGCGGTGGAGTGATGAGGATGTGTCGGCGCTTCTGGCGATTTACTCGAAGGACACGAAGCGCCGCATTCAGAAGCTTCTACTGAATGCAGTTTCCGTGGTTCAGCAAAGTTAGCAGACCTGGCAAAGTCATGTCGGGACGAAGGTAAACTATAATACATGCACTGCACTGTTTTAATCTGCACAATACTGGTCTTAGATGTACTTTTATTTGCTCAGTAGATCGAGCTAGCCATGCTAGAACTTGCTAACGTTAGGTCCAAGCTGACTAACAACATCTAGCTAGCTAGCTATTCTCAGCCGTGCCCGCTATGAACACGTTTTGACTTGTGAATAAGTGTGCAATGTTCTGTAATTGCTTCACTAACTCATGGCACTAATCGTGTGTTTCAGGCGAGGTGTTTCTCTCTGGATTGGAAACTAGTTAGCTTTTCCCTCCGGTATAAAACGATAATATAACGTTAGCAATTAGCATGCTAGCTGGACATAATGCTACCTCTAACAATACATTGTAGTTGCTATAATTTCATCATTTGCAACATTCATTCTACATGTTAATGGTAAAAGCTTAAACAGTTGATTACCTGCATGCCACAAAGACTGATGTTCTAATATTTTGCACATTTAAGCAAAAATGTAATTGAAATTCAATTTATTTTTCCTTTTTTTTATTGATTGTTATAATTGTACTCAGCCATGTTATGTTAGATGTCAATCCACTTACACTGTAACTACTCTGGCCTCGAAAGAAGGCTACGCATCTAACTGATGTCCACTAATCCCTATAAAACAAAGTTCAAGCATACATTAAGCACAAAACAATAAATAAGGGCACTTTGATATTTATTTGATATTATTTGATCCTACCTTATCTTCTACTTTACACCTGCATTTTGTACACTGTCCCTGCCTGCACCATGTCCAATGTTGTCTCTGTTGACAACCTACTAGGCGATTAAACTGATCTTGTATCTTGCTTATTTCTCCTTAGGAAAGCGGGCACGGAATGACAGGTTCCTTGACACCATCATGGCGATGGACCGCCCTGCCATGGTCAGCAAGGAGAATGAGGACCTGCGTGCCAAGGAGATGCACGACGAACGGCTGCTGCATTCACACAAGGCCCAGGAATCGAGGCCCACTGCTTCTGGCAGTGCAAAGCGAGCTGATTAAATCCAACAGGCCTTCAATAAAATAAATACTTGTCGTCGTTGATAAACTGTACAATGACTTGTTGGGAGGCGTGTGGTGCAGTGGTCTGGTGCGTTGGTGTTCGGATCAGGGGAGCACAGGTTCAAACCCCACTGCAGTCAGCATGTCATTGTGTCCCTGGGCAAGACACTTCACCCCAAATTGCCTACACCTGGGAGAGTTCATTTTGTATTATTGTGATTATATATATGCCACTGTTATTAATACTGACACTTCACTTTGCACTAAGGTGTGTCTGCTGAGCCTACCTATTGTTATTATATATATATATGTTTTGATACTACTGACACTTTATTTGATATTGAAAATGTTAACTTCTATTTACATGCATACGACACACCTGGGACAGCGTGATGCTGTTACTGATATTGTCTTGAGTGTGCAATAAAAGAGAACCTACATGGCGATTAAACAGAGCCTGTATCTTACATTTTTCATTACATTTCATGTAACTAAGCTTGCTTATTTCTCCTCTGACACTTTATCTTTACAGTGACCTGTGTAGCATCCTATACATCACATGTAAGTGATTATTCTGATACCATCATGTTTCATCGGTTATAAACTGGCGAAGCTTTATTTATTGTGGCTTTCAAAAAGATCATTTCATTGTATTTCAAAATGGCGTCCAACACAAGCACTATTTATTTATAGAAAGAGAAATGATTACGTTTTTTATTACCAGTGTTGTGAGTTCAATATTTTTTATTATGTAGTGAGTTTCAGAGCAGTGTAATAATTATTTGACCTAAAACTAAATGTTTTTATGAACATGACATGGGAATTTGCTAACTTTTGATTTCCCCCATTTTACACGACACAAATGGAGGCCACTATGGGCCACAACTAACACGTAGGTTTCTGTAGGGTTCATGGCAGACGGATGCAGTTGCTCTCAGGAGGATATATAATAAAGGTGTGTTAGCTGCTGAGCCTATTTAGTGTGCATAGGACACACCTGGCACAGTTTATTCATTTCACACGTAGCGTAGCGCGTGCATGTCGTCGTCCAATCCTTTTGTCAATCCTTCTTAACCGCCTTCGCTTCCGAATCAGCATTGCTATTGCATTTGACTGGTCGACGATCTGTATTTGTGTTTGCTTAAATAACTCAGACGAAGCTCATGTCTGAGGTCGGAAGGTAAACAGACGCCTCATATACAGCAAGTGGGCGCGGGAGGTTTTTCTTCTTCTTTTTGGCGGATTGCAACTTTAAGGTGCATACCGCCACCTACTGTACTCGCCGTGAAGTTGTTTGCGGCCTGCCAGTAAACCCAAAGCAGAAGAAGAAGAAGTGACGTCAGCGGCTTCATTTGCCTAATCCACCCCCAGGAACTCATTTTGGTGTGAACGCGATCTGCTTTAGTTCATCAGAACTAAAAGAGCTCCCTCCTCACTCACCAGTGGAACAGCCCCTCCCTACCTCAAGGAACTCCACACACACACACACACACACACACACACACACACACACACACACACACACACACACACACACACACACACACACACACACACACACACACACACACACACACACACACACACACACACACACACACACACACACACACACACACACACACACACAGGGAGATCCTGGTGGTGCAGATTGTGAAACGAGGGGGAAAATACAGACAGATTGAATCCATAATGCAACATTACAGACAACAACATTTACAGTATTAGTGTATTTAAAAGAGCTTATGGTCAATGGTGCACAAATGTGTCCACCCCAACACCAACATCTATCACCTTTCCATCCACTGACCCGAAATCAAACCACATTTAAGCACAAAACCAAAGTGTGTAAATGTTTGGAAATCAATAAAAACATTTTGAATATACATATTGTACAACAGAAGTAATGCATGTGTTGAATTAGAAGTATCACCACAACCATACAGTAGAGAGTTATTTCCCCTTCTGGCACTACATAGAGAAGAAGTTGGATGTGTCTTTATCAAGTGTTTGAGAATAAAGTTGAGACACCTCTGAGCTGATTCTGCCAAAAATATGAGTCATTTTCTGGCAAAGAAATAGACCTTTTTTCCTTTGACTGTAACGCTCTGAGTTTTCTTTGGCCAGCTAACACTGATTTCCTCCTCTTGATAAAAATGTGCACAGGTGTTTACATTTGGCACGCCGAGTCTTTGTTGAGAGATAAATAGAAAGGGGGTTTCCTCTGGGAGACTGAAGGGGTGGAAACAATACACTATGAGTGTATTAAAGGCGCCTGTGAGTGTGTGTGTTTCTGTGTGTGTAGCTCCTTAAATCACTCCTCAGGTATGATAGAAAATAAGATGACTTGGTATAATCTCCATGATCCTCACAGAGGGAAAGAAGCCCGGGGCTCAAAGGACCAAAACAAACAATAAGCAACGTTCGTGTTCAAAGCCAACGGTGGCGTGGCTGCAAACACCTGGATGGAAAACACAAACACACACCTACAAACACCCACACACACACACACACACACACACACCTACAAACACCCACACACACCTACAAACACCCCCACACACACACACACACACACCTATAAACACCTACAAACACCCACACACACACACACACACACACCTACAAACATCCACCCACCACAACATATTCAAATAGAGCTTCACACCTGGACAGGAGAATAATAGAGCGAGACTTGTCGCTGCTCTGTAATCAAAGTCACATGCTGCAGGATTTTCCCCTCGTCGCACGGACGCACGCACGCACGCACGCACGCACGCACGCACACACACACACACACACACACACGCACGCACACACACCCTTTGCATCAACCCCATTTCCCTTCAGAAGCTCTAAACAAAGGGAGGAAAATGTAACCTTAATAATGAAATGGAGAAAACATCACATCCTGGATTTTTCCCACCACTCCCCAATATGGTCTTGCTTATCAGCCAATCAGGATGCTCCTAAGAGACCGCACCCCCTCCTTCCTGCCCCACTGGGGTTGTATTCGGTCAACTCATTGTTATCTACCAATTTTATGACGTCTCAACTTTTTATGTTCTGTCGGCCAGGTTCAACTAGATTGTATTCCTTAATGTCAAGATGACCTAAAACTACCCCAGGAAGGAGGGGGCGCTGTCCCCAAGGAGCGTCCTGATTGGACGAGAGAACAATAAGCAAGAACCCTGGAATTGATTTTGTCTCCATTTTACTATTATGGTTTGGATTGTCTTCCCTTTCTTTGAGCTTCTTTGAGGAGATCTTGGTCGCTGCATGCTGGGTGTGTTGGACTCATAAAGTGGAACAACAATTTGTTTTAATGTAAATTGAAAATATACAATTAAATTAATATACCATCATATTTTAATTAATGCCCTATCCAATTAGCATTCTTAAAACAAAAGAACTATCCAAATGCTCACACGTTAAAAAATCAATATCATTTTGTACTTTTAGCACAATGTTTGGTATTTCTACACATTTTAGTATCATATATGGCGTCAACAGTTGTTTCTTTGACACGTTTATTTATCTCTGAGATGACAAAGACTTTGCAGAATCCAACCAAACATTAAAGGTCCCCTATTATACTGTTTTTCATCAATATATCACAGGTCTCAGATATATACAGAACCTGTCTCTGATTGGCTGAAACACCAAACAGATCATTGCAGCATTACCCATAATCCCCTCTGTTTCAGCCCTGTTTCCAAAGTGCTGATTCTCTGTCTGTTACTTTAGATGAAAATAAGGAGCCCCTCCCCACGCCCCTCTGAGAGAGATTTGGTTACAAAGAACTCAATGGTGCTCTAGGAGGAGATTCAGGTGATAAGGTGTGGGGGGGGGGGGGGTTACCTTGGTTGCTGATTGGCTAATGGTTACACAAGACAAAACATCGTTATGACATCATAAAGTGGCCAAAATCTGATCAGCTCATTTTCAGACAGGTTTTTATATAAATGGATCAAAAAGAGAGAGAATCTTTGTTCCTGAAACTTTCAGAGTCTCTTTCCACAGAGGGGACACATGGTGATGAAGAAGAGACATGAAGAAGAGGGGACACATGTTGATGTAGAAGAGACATGAAGAAGAGGGGACACATGTTGATGAAGAAGAGACATGAAGAAGAGGGGACACATGTTGATGTAGAAGAGACATGAAGAAGAGGGGACACATGTTGATGTAGAAGAGACATTGAAGAAGAGGGGACACATGTTGATGTAGAAGAGACATGAAGAAGAGGGGACACATGTTGATGTAGAAGAGACATGAAGAAGAGGGGACACATGTTGATGTAGAAGAGACATGAAGAAGAGGGGACACATGTTGATGAAGAAGAGACATGAAGAAGAGGGGACACATGTTGATGAAGAAGAGAACATGAAGAAGAGGGGACACATGTTGATGTAGAAGAGACATGAGAAGAGGGGACACATGTTGATGAAGAAGAGACATGAAGAAGAGGGGACACATGTTGATGTAGAAGAGACATGAAGAAGAGGGGACACATGGTGATGAAGAAGAGACATGAAGAAGAGGGGACACATGTTGATGAAGAAGAGACATGAAGAAGAGGGGACACATGTTGATGAAGAAGAGACATGAAGAAGAGGGGACACATGTTTGATGAAGAAGAGACATGAAGAAGAGGGGACACATGTTGATGAAGAAGAGACATGAAGAAGAGGGGACACATGTTGATGTAGAAGAGACATGAAGAAGAGGGGACACATGTTGATGTAGAAGAGACATGAAGAAGAGGGGACACATGTTGATGTAGAAGAGACATGAAGAAGAGGGGACACATGTTGATGTAGAAGAGACATGAAGAAGAGGGGACACATGTTGATGTAGAAGAGACATGAAGAAGAGGGGACACATGTTGATGTAGACGAGACATGAAGAAGAGGGGACACATGTTGATGAAGAAGAGACATGAAGAAGAGGGGACACATGTTGATGTAGAAGAGACATGAAGAAGAGGGGACACATGTTGATGTAGAAGAGACATGAAGAAGAGGGGACACATGTTGATGTAGAAGAGACATGAAGAAGAGGGGACACATGTTGATGTAGAAGAGACATGAAGAAGAGGGGACACATGTTGATGTAGAGGAGACATGAAGAAGAGGGGACACATGTTGATGAAGAAGAGACATGAAGAAGAGGGGACACATGTTGATGAAGAAGAGACATGAAGAAGAGGGGACACATGTTGATGTAGAGGAGACATGAAGAAGAGGGGACACATGTTGATGTAGAAGAGACATGAAGAAGAGGGGACACATGTTGATGAAGAAGAGACATGAAGAAGAGGGGACACATGTTGATGTAGAGGAGACATGAAGAAGAGGGGACACATGTTGATGTAGAAGAGACATGAAGAAGAGGGGACACATGTTGATGTAGAAGAGACATGAAGAAGAGGGGACACATGTTGATGTAGAGGAGACATGAAGAAGAGGGGACACATGTTGATGAAGAAGAGACATGAAGAAGAGGGGACACATGTTGATGTAGAAGAGACATGAAGAAGAGGGGACACATGTTGATGTAGAAGAGACATGAAGAAGAGGGGACACATGTTGATGAAGAAGAGACATGAAGAAGAGGGGGACACATGTTGATGTAGAGGAGACATGAAGAAGAGGGGACACATGTTGATGTAGAAGAGACATGAAGAAGAGGGGACACATGTTGATGTAGAAGAGACATGAAGAAGAGGGGACACATGTTGATGTAGAGGAGACATGAAGAAGAGGGGACACATGTTGATGAAGAAGAGACATGAAGAAGAGGGGACACATGTTGATGTAAAAGAGACATGAAGAAGAGGGGACACATGTTGATGTAAAAGAGACATGAAGAAGAGGATTTTGCACAATAGGTGACCTTTAACATATGAACTCTGTTTCGTTTTGTCTGGTGTTTCTGTGCTACAGTGTGTCATGCTGACCTGCAGGCTGTCCAGCACGATGCGCAGAGATTGGACCTGCCTGCTGACGGCGCTGGAGAACCGCTCGTACATAGCAGCGTCGTACTCACTCATATTGATCTCCTTCAGCCTGAGGGAAACACACAGAGAGAGGAGAGGCACATGACTTCATTTGATATGTTTTAGACTAAACACACATTGCATTTAAAGCATACAATATGTTGGATATGAGTTATCTGGACTCATCTGCTGAGGACTTCCCGATCACAGACAACATGATTAAACACGTGCTTGACATTGTTGTGTCTTTCTTAAATGTTATGAAAGTACATAGCGGGTCTGCTGTGTTGAGGAGGATGAACATTCAGACATTTCTCAATGCTAGCTTCGGCCTTTACAGAACTCTTTCATAGATAAAGGATCTGACGTAAGATTTAAAATACAAAACCTCCAAAACCAGGTCATAGTTGCTGCAGATCATCTACATGTATTGCAAAAACTACTTCTACTCAGGAATTCTCACATTTTTTCCATGCTTTTCAGCAAAAACATCAGATTTGTTTTCCAAAAACAGGCAAGTATTTAAATTAAACCTTCTGACGCTGCAGTGGAAAATAACAAATGCATTTTTAGTTTAAATTAGAAGCCTCTACTTACTGCCAATATCTGCTTCCTGATTTTCCAGAAATAGGTCAGGTGTGTGTTTGTGTGGGTATGTGTGTGCGTGCGTGCGTGTGTGTGCGTGCGTGTGTGTGTGTGCGTGTGTGTGTGTGTATGTTCTCTCCAAAACACACCTGTGGAAATGACACTACAGGTGGGCTTTTCCCCCCGAGCCAAGTTTATTATTATAATCCCCCTGTGCAGGTACTTTACTGACGCACAGACACACACGATCCAGCTCCAGTGTGGTGACGGCGCTACAGTACCCTCACCATGTTTGAACCCAGTGAGGGTGTGTGTGTGTGTGTGTGTGTGTGTGTGTGTGTGTTGGAGAGGGGGGGATCTCTGCCAGGTGTTTGAATCTTTTGGTGATAACCAGACTGTGACCATACAGAGTTACAGAGCAGTGACTACAAAACGCAGGTCGGGTTGGAGGAGGGTGTGTGTGTGTGTGTGCGTGCGTGCGTGCGTGCGTGCGTGCGTGCGTGCGTGCGTGCGTGCGTGCGTGCGTGCGTGCGTGCGTGCGTGCGTGCGTGCGTGCGTGTGTGTGTGTGTGTGGGTGACTGGTTGCATGAGAGAGAGTCAGACGGATGTATTGTGTAGACTGTGTTGGCATCGGCCATGCGATCAAAAAATCTAAAAGATGAAAAAGCAAACACACAAAATGTTATGTCTGCAATGAATGTCTAAGTTCAACTAAACTACGTCATTACAACACTTGGCATGTAATAAAACAATTATATAAATGATGGATAATACACGAGAAGAAATAAGATTTGGAGAGCCACATAGTAGGTACTGAAACATTTGATATGACAAAAACCAAACACAATACTGTAAATGTTTTCGAAGACCAGCACTTCCTGTTAAGTCAATATTAAACGCTCTGGGCAATAAACTTCACTCAAACTAATTCAAAAGGTGATATAATGGTGTTTAAATTATGTTTGTAGAAGGAGTTAAATAGACAACCTTATTAAAATGTAAACTTAGTTTTGCCAGTTTTACCCCTTTTAGCACATTTAACTGCCGTTTTAAAATGGTTACGTTTACATTTCACATCTTGGATTAAGGATCTTAGAACAGCTTGTACTTAAGGCTGATTTATTTTCATTCATTCACACATCGTACACACTCATCCTGCGCTGCTATCTACTCTCAGACACAGAATGTTCTGTATCACACTCACATTACAGTCCAGTTATTTCTGACCTGCACACACACACACACACACACACACACACACACACACACACACACACACACACACACACACACACACACACACACACACACACACACACACACACACACACACACACACACACACACACACACACACACACACACACACACACACACACACACACACACACACACACACACACACACACCACACACTGTCAGCCCACAGCAGTGACTTCCTGCACACATTCCAAGGTGTGCACATGTGTGTGAGTGTGTGTGTGAGAGGATGCGTGAGAGTGTGTGTGTGTGAGGATGCGTGAGAGTGTGTGTGGTGAGGGAGCAGACACTCTGGCCAGTGGCCGCTGCTATTTCCTTCAAATTCCTGAACCTTGACTTCACCAGGAGAAAAGAAGCGAATGACAAATACAGAGAAAGAGTCGGGTTTGTTTTTTCAAGGTGGAGACGCTGAGATTTCACACACAACCACCACCAGGAAAACAAGCACACTCCCAGCGACTACACACACTACACACACACACCGGTGCTTTCTATCAACAAGACCTGTCTCTCACAGGACAAATACAAGTTCTCTTCTTGTTAGGATTTTATTTTGCAAATCGTGATGCATTTGATGAGAAAAACCGAATGCATTGGTGCCAAAAGTGGTTTTGCGCTTCTGTCCAAACATCTGCACATCATAACATATCATAACACGTCACATTTACTGCCCATTGTGGCTTCCTTGCAACATATTTCCATTCTATAATCCAATACAAATATGAAACATAGTTCACACTGAATAACAACTCATCCAACACTCATCAATTCTTGAGAAATGCTACAACTTTTTTTCTGGGTGTGACACTTTTACATTAGGATGTTTATGGACTCAGAGCTGAAGGAAACTCAGCTGTTTGTCACTCAGCCGGTTCAGGGTCTGTCCCCATTTTCATCTAATTTATGTTGAAGGGTGTAGATTGGGCAAAGGAAGAAAGGAATGAGTCCTTAACCCGGAATTGAAATACCAAAATTGGGAAATGAGACCATCTGAACTGAGTTGCTGAGTCCTGAGCTCTCCGAGTGGCCATTCTCATTTGTATAAAACATAATAAATAACTCAGAGTTACTAAAACAAAGCCTCATTACAATTTGTTTGGGTTCCCAGGTAACATTAAAAAGACAATGATATACTTGGCATTTTTACGTCAACTCTTAAATTAATTTACGGTATAAATGTTGGCAGCTATGGAGGCACAGCTGGAGATCTGTTTTATGTTGCTCACGTGGGTGTTTATTAGTTTAGGCATACCTAAGCCTGTTTTTGCTTGTGTGTGTGTGTGTGTGTGTGTGTGTGTGTGTGTGTGTGTGTGTGTGTGTGTGTGTGTGTGTGTGTGTGTGTGTGCGTGCGTGTGTGTGTGTGTGTGTGTGTGTGTGTGTGTGTGTGTGCGTGCGTGCGTGCGTGCGTGCGTGCGTGCGTGCGTGCGTGCATGCGTGCGTGCGTGTGTGTGTGTGTGTGTCAGGTGCTCCAGGGTTTACGAAAGAATCAGAGTTTGATTGATGCTGAACTTAAGCTAAGTAAATAGAGGATTGTGCACACATCAGCGTATGGAAAAAGCCTGACAGAGTTGATCTGCTATATAGGAAAAAAACTACATAAAATCTGTCGACCTCATCTGCAGGTATTTTCCTGGAGAGAGCTCACCTGCTGTACAGTGACATCTACTTGGAAGCAGAGTATCAGCATGTAGATACAGGATTTTCTCGAGGCTTAGTGCCACTGATAGACAGGCAGAAGACAAGGAGGGAGGGTGTCAAAGAGGACATTTTAAAAAAGCAATTGAAGACCAAAGGAAGAGGCTAAAAAGAGGAGAGAGAGAGAGGCTGTCCTCTTGGTGTGAAAGCAGCCAGTGTGGTGCAGGGAAAAGGGGAGGATAGGGGGGGAGAAAAGAAAGTAAAGAGACTGTTTGAAGCAAAAAGAGAACAGAGACAGCCTTCATGCTGGAGCTGGTGAAAGGGGTGCCCTCTTAACCCTGAGAATGTGTAAGTGTAGACACACACACACACACACACACACACATACACACACACACACACACACACACACACACACACACACACACACACACACACACACACACACACACACACACACACACACACACACACACACACACACACACGGATCTACCAATGCCCTCATCCATCCAGGCGGGGCGCAGCAGCCTGTGGTTGTTTGCCCAGGATGGAGCACCGTACCTGGGATGGATCTGCAGATGGCCTAATGAAAAAGCCCCCTCCCTCACACACGCACACACACACACACACACACACACACACACACACACACACACACACACACACACACACACACACACACACACACACACACACACACACACACACACACACACACACGCACACAAACACCTGTTCCACATCACACACTTCAGCTGTGTAAGGGGAAAAAGAGTCCTGAAGATAAGCGGGTTAATCATCAACCATGACATTTTTCTACCGTGTGATCAGTGTGTCACATACATTATTTAACTTTGTCTTAATGTACATTATTTAATTTGATATTCTGTTCTTGTACATATCATATTCTATTTACATGTATATAGACCTCTTGCACTATTTTTATTTTTCTCAGGTCAGAAGAATTTCATTGCCATTTCTGCACTGTAGCTTATGTGATTAAAACCTTTTTAATCTTGAATCTAGTGTGTGTCTGTGTGTGTGTGTGTGTGTGTGTGTGTGTGTGTGTGTGTGTGTGTGTGTGTGTGTGAGTGTGTGATCTACCGTTCTTTGAAGGCTTTCTCTCCCATCTCGCGGGCTGCTTTGCGGACCTCCTCTGGGACGGCGTCTTTCTCCGCCTGGGACACCTGGTAGGAAACATCACAGATCAAATTCCAGCTGAGACACTTTCTGATCCGATGTCTGCTATAAAAGCATTTCATGAGTTAAATCTGAGCCCCGTCCTCGTTCCTGAAAGTTGTGATTTAAGCAGTTTACATCAGAATAAATACATTTGTGTTTCAGGGTGTGACGTTTAAGGTGGAGGGGAGAGAACTGACTATAGCTCGTATCCTTCAGGCATGATCGATCGTCGGAGACGTCATCAAAGAGGTGAGGTAGACTGTTCTCTGGGTCTCCTTATTAAGATGTATGGTGGTGGGAATAGCTTTAAATTCCAGTTGGTTCTTGACTTGACTGAAGTTGGGATCCCTCCAGAAGTTAACAGGGATTTAATTTATTAGTGGAGTCCCCCAAGGCTCAGTTCTTGGTCCTCTATGTTATTATATTTGGCTCACGGTATTGTTATATTTGTGAACTGATTGGCTTCTTACCCGGTGGACTTTGTGTCCTGCATCCAGCCGGTAGGGACCTCCTTTCCCCCCGAGCCCCGCCGTGTCTCTGCCACCTGCAAGGGAACGTTTTAGTGATGACGTCACTCCATAAAGAGGCATCAAGTTGATTTGTTTATACATCAAATCTGCAGTATGTTATCCCACTCAACAGTATCTTGGAGTTATATTCGCATAAATCACATTAACGACATCACAGCTTTTTTCCACCTTCGGAACATTTCAAAGATTCGTCCGATGCTTTCCCTAGACGATGCTGAAACTTTGCTCCATGCTTTTGTTTCATCTCGGTTGGACTACTGCAATTCACTTTTCTCCAGGCTACCAAAATCAACAACCGCCAAACTACAACTGGTTCAAAACACAGCTGCCAGAATATTAACCAGAACCAGAAAATGTGATCATCCCTGTTCTCATTTCATTGCATTGGCTCCCAATTCACATAAAATCAGACTTCAAGATTTTACTATTAACCTTTAAAATCGTACATGGACTAGCACCTCTGTATCTATCATCATTAATTACCCAGCAAATATCTAGCAGGCTCCCACGATCACATAATGCCTCCTAATGTCTCCTTTCCATCCCCAGAAATCACAAATCATCCGTTGGTGGCAGAGCGTTTTCATTCAGAGCACCTCTCCTTTGGAATCGTCTACCATTTCAGATCCGCGAAGCTATTTCCGTTGATTTGATTTGATCATTTGTAACCTTGTTCATAGTCTACATGTATTCCTGTATTTTTACTCGCAACTTTATATCCCTAGCAATATCTTCTTGCACTTTCTTATACGTTTTATCTTTCATGTCTTAAGTATATTGTAACAATATAATAATGTCACATGTAAAAAAGGGAGATCTGATCCAAGCTCATTTTTTTTATTAATCTAAGATTCTGACAAAAGATATATTTGAATCTTGAACAAATCACATTTGTTTGAACCACTGTTTCTCTGCAACCATGGCTGGAAATCTAGCAACCCGTTTTTTTTTTAACATTTTAGCAATTTAGTGGCAAGTGCTTTTTTTCAACTATTTATTTATTTTGCTTTAGATTATCATTTGATTCTTGTTTAACTGATCAAATGCCCTGAATTTCCTGGAACTCAAGGTCTTTTCATCAAGTTTAATCTGACTAACAGTGAAAAACACATAGAGATGGCATAAACATTGTTATGTTAAGTGACTTAAACAATAAATCATAATCAAAACCATTGTCTTTTCCAACTATTAATTTACACTAATCTAACTAAACCTTTTATTCGAGGTATGCAAGACTGTGTGCCTTGCCCGGGGGCACTTCCTCTCTCTCACATCTACACTTCCTTACATGCCATCAATCATAGTGATTTGTGTGTGAAATGTCATCACAGATTTTAATCAGCATATGGTGGATTGAGGGTATTCCTGCATGATGCTGAGTCAGTAAGAAATGGCAAGAGTACACACATCCTTTACTCAAGTAGAAGTGCAGATACTCATGTTTAAAATACTCTGGTGAAAGTAGAAGTACTGACTAAACTTCTTTGCTCAAGTAAAAGTAAAGAGGGCTTTGAAATGTACTTCAGTAAAAAGTACCCATAACTAGCAGCTGTTTTAAAGAGTACCTGACCTCCCTTTATATTAATAGAACAATAATGTCATTGTTAGCTAATGAATGTTTCCATGCTGAACAACGGCAACATGACAACGTTTTCATTGGTCCCTCTTCTTTAGAGAAGACCAGGAAATGATGGATACACGGATCGTGTTCAAATCAATAGGCACGCAATGACTCTAAATAATAATGATCACGCCACCAAACACACATTCAAACTAAAGGAACCAGCCTGTTTGGAAAATGTAAGAAGTAGAAAGTACAGGTATTTGGGTTCAACATGTAAGAAGTAGAAAGTACAGGTATTTGTGTTCAACATGTAAGAAGTAGAAAGTACAGGTATTTGGGTTCAACATGTAAGAAGTAGAAAGTACAGGTATTTGTGTTCAACATGTAAGAAGTAGAAAGTACAGGTATTTGTGTTCAACATGTAAGAAGTAGAAAGTACAGGTATTTGTGTTCAACATGTAAGAAGTAGAAAGTACAGGTATTTGTGTTCAACATGTAAGAAGTAGAAAGTACAGGTATTTGTGTTCAACATGTAAGAAGTAGAACGTACAGGTATTTGTGTTCAACATGTAAGAAGTAGAAAGTACAAGTATTTGTGTTCAACATGTAAGAAGTAGAAAGTACAGGTATTTGTGTTCAACATGTAAGAAGTAAAAGTAAAAAGTCGTCAGTAGTGGAGTAAAGTACTGATACCAGTAACATGAACTTAAGCACAGTAACGAAGTATTTGTACTCCAATACTTCCCACCTCTGTGAGTCAGTATTATTATATTATTATATATATTATATATATATATTATAAGAGTCTCTGTTACCTGTGCCTCCCGCCCACTGGTTTCCTCCGACGTGAGGATCGTTGTTGGCGTCGATCTTTCCGTGTTTCGGGGCGCTGACTGCTGTCCCTCTGGATGGTGATCTGAGAGGAGAGGAACAAGAGAGGCGGTCAGTTTTCAAACATTAGTTTTATTATTATTGTTTATTTATTTATTTTATTTATAACACATGAGGTTGCAATTGTAATAATTAACACTCATGTGACATATTCCTTATTTTCCAACCTCACACAACTCTAAAAAGTCCCCATTTGTGTTAAACTCCTGATGTATTAAATTATTATATGTAGCACAGCCAACAAAACTCCAAACCAGTCAGCTACCACACACTGAACACATTTGGGGAAAGCACTTTGTATCTCTGAGGTTTCTGCAGGATGGACAGAACATCCTCTGTGTGTCTCTACAGGAGTGATGCAGAGGGAGGGAGCAGAGAAACACAGGGAGGTGAAAGCTTTGGGGTTTTTAGCTCCATCTCAATGGCACCACCAGTGCCAAAATCAGCATGTCGGCTCCCACACTGAGGGTCTGCCATGCATATGAGAGGGAGAGAAAGGAACGTGGGAGACTAAGAGCATCCCCTGTAGATCAGATGCTTTCTTACAAACTGAAGGAATAGAGAGATGCAGGAATAAGTCGCAAAACACGGAAATTAGTTAGCATTTTAGCACTTCTGGGTTCCCTTGTCTCAAAATGTATTGTCTTTTTAATGTGGTTTTTGTTGTTAGCCTCAAATAAGGTCGGTGGTTAACACAAGCTGAAGAGATTTTTATTCTACGACATAAAATACTTATAAATACCCCACTGGTGAATTTTAAAACGGTGGTTGCTAACAAGTGTCTTAATGAGATGACTAAATGTCATCACGGCCATCTTTAGCCACCTTTAGCTTAGCGGTGGTGACGTGAAGTCATGTGACCGTGCTGTAGTTCCTTTATAGCCCAACATTAGCCGCCTTTAGCTTAGCGGTGGTGACGTGAAGTCATGTGACCGTGCTGTAGTTCCTTTATAGCCCAACATTAGCCACCTTTAGCTTAGCGGTGGTGACGTGAAGTCATGTGACCGTGCTGTAGTTCCTTTATAGCCCAACATTAGCCACCTTTAGCTTAGCGGTGGTGACGTGAAGTCATGTGACCGTGCTGTAGTTCCTTTATAGCCCAACATTAGCCACCTTTAGCTTAGCGGTGGTGATGTGAAGTCATGTGACCGTGATGTCGTTCCTTTATAGCCTAACGTTAGCTTCTTACTTCTGGCGATAATTAAAGCTTCAAATCTTATAAAGTGGTGTTAATATGAGGAACAAAACGTGTAAGTATCATAAAAAGTATCATTTTTTTTGCCACATAAATTATTTTCTGCAATATTCCGAAATCCAATGGAAAAATATAATTGTTTTTTCTTACAGGGATCCTTTGCGATGCCATAACTGCCTGGTCGGCCTTCAAATATACATCATCTCTGCACCACTTTATTCAAACAGTATCTATCACTGTGAACGTTTGTACGTGTATGCAAGCTTTTATCTTTCAAACTGTGCTTGGCTCAACATGGCAGTTAAACAGACTCTTATCTATTAGGAGCAGCAGTCCAGAGGATAAAGGACCCCTCCTCTCCCTCTGCTGACCACTGACCACACCTCAAACCTCAAACTGACACCGTGGAGCTCAGGCTCTGCTCTTACAAACTAATGAACCTGCAGTATCAACAGAGCTCTTTATATTTAGCCCAGATTAGGAGGGTCAGTCTGATATAAACCACGTCAGATTACAAGGACAGGATGACACTTGTAGTGGGAACTAGCACATATTACTTACTCTGTCTTAGACACAATATGTTTTACAACTCAAGCCACACTAAGGTCATTAATTGAGAAGTTGTTTATCTCAAGATTCATCCAGAAATGATCCACTGAGTGTTTCTGCTGTTTTCTCATCCCTGCCTTCACACCTGTAGCAGATGTTTGTTTTAAATGCCGTGCAAAAGGAGCTCCTTGTTAAACGCTTATTCTCTTTTTCCACACACATTTTAGCAATAAAGTCAGAACTTTCACACCGTCAGTCTCCTGTGAAAGAGCCTCTTTAACCTCTCAAGCAGAGCAAATATGGCTAAAGAAAGAAAATATCAAAGGTAAATAAGCACCAGAAGCACATTCTAAATACTGCACTTCCCATAGAATCATTAGAAATAATAACTCAAGTCTAAAAACAAACAAACACTAATGGTTTAAAGATGAATTAAGAAACCTGTTTTTTTCTTTTTAAAAATGTAAATAGCCAAGCCTCTCACTGATGGTCTCCTCAAATAAATGTGTATTACTGAAGCACACACACACACACACACACACACACACACACACACACACACACACACACACACACACACGCACACACACACACGCACACACACACACACACACACACACACACACACACACACACACACACACACACACACACACACACCCACACACACACACACACACACACACAGAGTGATATGCGGGAACAACATGATCACCATCTAGAGTCCGTCTGTTTTGGTTGTTGACATTTCAGATCAACGGGAAAGTCCTTGCATGACAACAACAATGGAGACTGGGGGGGGTCTCAAACATTTAAATTAAAATGTCAAACATCCTCACTGTCCCATGCAGCTGCAGACCAGCAGATAATCTGTGTATCAATAGAGCTTTCCTATAGTGTAAGTGAAGATCCACAGGAAGTGTGTGTAGGTGTGTGTGTAGGTGTGTGTGTGTTAACCTCAGTAACCAGAGGAGCGTGGTGCCATAGCTCTGCTCTGAGGCCAAGGGTCAGAGGTTTGAGCCTGGAGTCACAACAGGTCCAGGAGCTCACACACACACACACACACACACACACACACACACACACACACACACACACACACACACACACACACACACACACACACCCTGAGCTTTACTGCACGCATGCCTGAGCCCCGATGGGAAACGGGGGGGGGGGGGGGGCACCTGATAGCGGGAATGTGTTTTCAAAGGCTTAGCTGTACCGGCTCCACGTATCATTCTCACTGACGAATGTGTGTATGATCACTTAGTAAAACATCACACACTTTCTTTGCCTGACAACAACACTTCCTGTTTTAAAAGTGTGTCCGAACATGTACTTTTTGCAATATACAAACTCGTACAATCTCAACAGAATGTATGTTTTTAGATTCGGTATAAATGAAACAGGACAAAGAAACCTGCCTTATGGTATGCCTTGAATCCTAAAGCACTTCATATACTGTATACATTATAAACATACACACATATAGTACATACCTACATATATACTAAATAAACAAGAACTAGTTTAGAGTAATATATCACTACTGTTTTCACATACAGCATAAATAAAGCTGCCTTTCCGTCTGCCTTGAACCCAAAAGCTTTTTTTAAATAAATATGCACACATACATGTTTACATATATATACACACATAATTAAATAGGACATATAACGCTCAATTGCAGGTTCATTAAACCAGGGATTTTAGCCTTTGCAGACCATTTACATGCACACAAATCTATAAAGCACACTACAGGAGAGGGAAGAAAGCCGAATACGACCTCTTACAACATATTTAGAGTTATACTGTATATATCAGTGTCTTACAATTTGCATTAATAACACAACACCACTTCTCTCCGGCATGTGCTACTCATCTGATGCTCACAGTTTCCTGAACACAGGGTGTGTCAGTAATGCAGCTTTGTCATCACAGTGTCTATAGACGAACCTCTCACTGGTGACAACATGAGTCCTGAATGTGTCTTCGTGCTGGTAATGAACTCTACTCTGTCTTCGTCACAGCCAGTAAAGCAGTGACTAATAATCTACTTTTGGTTTTAAGAAAAATGATGAGAGAAGCCTTACAACATGTGTCCATTTTGAGCTCTTTAAAGAGGCCACACTCGGTTCAGGTTCCCGGGTTGTGGAAGAGGTATGTGTGTGTGTGTGTGTGTGTGTGTGTGTGTGTGTGTGTGTGTGTGTGTGTGTGTGTGTGTGTGTGTGTGTGTGTGTGTGTGGTGTGTGTGTGTGTGTGTGTGTGTGTGTGTGTGTGTGTGTGTGTGTGTGTGTGTGTGTGTGTGTGTGTGTGTGTGTGTGTGTGTGTGTGTGTGGACCATCATGACTCCGATCAGATAGCGGATAAGGTTTCTTTTTGATATAATCACTTACAGTGCAGTAGCATCTATCGTTCTACATGTCTGAGTCTGTTCCAACCGCCACGGCAAAATTAAGGAGAGAACATATTCTTGTTTTGCTCTGAGAACAATCACAGGAAATTACAAAAACTAACAAACACTTCAGGAACCAGCAGCCGCTCCCAGACAACACACACAGCCCGACTGAAGATATTCAATATTAAACTAGATTTGAAGTGTTAAGGAGCCTTAAACATCTCCCGTAATGGCCTCGAAGAGTTTGCAAAGTTATAGAAAATGTTCTTACTATATTTGAGACATTTAAGAATAAAGTTTCCTACAATATGCCAAGGTGTTTATATATCATTGGACTTCTCATATGTGCTTTGATGGCCTACATTTCTCCACAGACATAATTGTGGGTGTGTTTTGTTGGTAGCTTTACCTCAGCCTGAATGTTTCTGTTCAATCACAGATTAATACGTGCAGTGAAATCATCTTTAGTCTTCAAAACACTTCAGAATGTAATGGGTGATATCACAATCGCTGTGCTTGTTTTTCTCCTCAGTAATCGGTGAAAAATATCATCTAAACCCAGGATGTTTTTGAGAATTGTGATATGGTTGCCAGCCCAGTGGGTTAGTAGACAAATGGCAGAAAGATGGCACCTTAACCTCAGGACATAGAAAGAAAGACAGACAAAAATACCCTTCAGAAAACTTCATTTTTATGACTGTGGGAATCATGTCTCTCCCCCACCCTCCCCTCGATGTCTGTCCCCCCTCTTTCTTTCTTTTCCTCCCCCCCGCTGTCTCTCTGTCTCTCATCTGAAGACCCCGCCTTGTCTTGTGAGATTAATAGCCTCATAAATGTATGATTTTCCCTTTAGACGCCTAAAGACACAGAGTGATTTAGGAGTGGTGGGTGTGTGCAGTCACAACGAGTCCACTTTTGAGTGAAGAGTAAATGTGTGAACTTTGGTGCATCCTAGTGTGTGTTTTTGTGTGTTTTGAGTTGGTATAAATGCATGCATGTAAATGAATGTTTGGACATGTGCAAGTTTGTCTAATTGATGAGCGTGTGAGAGTGAAATACTCTTGATTTGTGAAAGGTTAAGAAACCAAGGTGTGCAAGAGATAACCTTTGACCAAACTGTAACTTGGACATTTCAGAAGGGTTATTGTTATCTGCTGGTGTTTGCAAAATGTGGCAGAAGTCTGCAAGGAACTGATGTAGATTACTTTAATTTGCAAGAGTGTCCATGTGCATGTGACTGTGACTGATAAGCTAGCTTCAGTGGAGGAAGGACAGGGAGGGAAAAAAGGTGGCAGGTGGCCAGAGCAGGAGAGAAAACACCCACACACTGCCATCGGGTGTAAAAACAACCATATTTTACAATTAAGGTTGAGTGACTGGATATATAAGAGTGTTGGATACCTGCGGACATTTACTTGGCACCAGAAGCACCACCTAAACAAAAGACTGTGTGTGTGTGCAGATAGACGATGACTGACGTCTCCTGTACATCTGTGGATGATGTCAACATTGGTGTAATAGAGCAATGTGGGACACACACACACACACACACACACACACACACACACACACACACACACACACACACACACACACACACACACCTGCATGCAGCTGGAGTCAAAAGGCAATGAGCATTCATGTCTTTTTTTCTATAGACAAGACACACGGTCTTTGCTAATAAATCCTGCTTATTACCTCTGAAAAACATACGTTAAATGGGACAATTCACGCTAAATTAAAATAAATTAACATATTCTTTCTGTGCAATTCATCAGTCCAGATTGTTGTAGTCTGTGACCTACATTTTTCATTGACATATCTACACTGTAGCTAATGTACAAATGACAATAAAGCCTTGAATCTTGTGGTAAAACCTGCTAAATGTGGGAGATATCGGCCAGGGAGATGTCTACCTTTTATCTTATAAAATTGAATTTTGGTAGTAGAGCTCAAAGAAACATGCAATGGTTACTAATCTACAGATCTTGTTATAAGTAGTTTAAGATAAGAATGTTTTCCTTTATATCAAACTACACCTGGTAACCGTATCATATCCCAGAATCAAGCGTGCATTTACTCGTACTTTGGTCAGAATCCAGACTGTTACACTCTCTAAGCGTGTCATAAAAACAAGGTATTTCACAAGAAGCAGACCTGCGCCATGTGCAAACAGGGAAGCAGGTATGGAGGCGAGGTGTGTGCACAGTTTGGTGCAGTAACACGTCTCTGTGCAGGTATACAGAGAGCCCTGTAGGCAGGTATGTTTAAATACAGTAGTGCTACTGTTGTTTGCAGTGAGCTAACACCGAGCACAGGCAGAGTCTGTTAGTCTGACCTGCAGCGGACTCAGGGTGCCCCATCAAAGAAGAGCTGACTCCGCAGGAATCTCAGGGAGCCCTGTGTGCACTGAAGATGTGCAGGTGTGTGTGTGTGTGTGTGTGTGTGTGTGTGTGTGTGTGTGTGTGTGTGTGTGTGTGTGTGTGTGTGTGTGTGTGTGTGTGTGTGTGTGTTGGTGTATTACCCATATGAATCTGTTTACACTCTCCCTACTTTCTTATTATGTAAGTCAATCCATTTTAGTGTAATTACTTTATTGTTTTTGTCTTATTCTGAGAATGAACTACTTGCCTTGTTGACATTACAATTGGTAAAAGAGTAAAGCATGGGCCAAGTAAGAACCCATTTAATTCTGGAGACATTCAGTCAAAGTATTTTTCTCATCCGTTAACATTGCAAGATGAGGCATTTGGTTTTAGCGGAAGTGCTGTGTGTGCCCGCCAAGGTCCCTCCTTGTTAATTAATCTATTTTCAGTCAAAGGCTTTCTATTAGTTTTGTCTCAGTATCCCCAACACACCTTATAAGAAAATCTATATTTCTGGATTCATGGAAACACACACTGAATATCCATATATTATAATATAATAATTACATCTCGTCATACAATTTTCGGTAGCAAATGTAGAAAAAGGTAAAGATGTTGTTCTTATTCCCCCCATTTACCCCTTAAAACTGAACTTGTATTTCCTTTAAGTTACACGGAACCCAATAATGAAGTGAGTGAGTTTGTATCATTAACTTAAAATCCAACCACTCTTTTGACATAAGAAGGAAGTCCCTGATCATCTAATTTATGATCAGTTTCTTTGACATCCACTTCTTTCTCTCACTGCCTTGTGCACATACCACAGATGATGCCCTCTACATCTGGAAGGCTCCACTATCTCTATCTATATGGCTATTCAATCTGCCTGTGATGTATATGTGGGCACCTTAACAATGCTCTCTCAGTAGGCTACGCTGCCCTGAAATGTTCCGACCCATACCGAAGGGGTCAAACTTATTGCATCATCGGCACAATGCCCGTCCATTGATAAACTCCCACCCCGGGTCCAGGCAGGTCATACATTTGGGGCTTGGAAACATTCCGGTTAGCATAAAATCAGGAATGTTGTGCAACTGATGTGAGGAGAGCATGCAGAGTGACGTCCAGCTGGAAATCTGAACGCTGTGGGTGTTTGTAAAGTAGCACTGCCCCTCGGTGGTGGTGAGAAAAACTACAGGTTGCAAGAATTCCTAATTATGAAAAAAGACTGAATTGTGACTTTTCTGACCAAAAGTGATCTTTTTTTTTAGATGTAAAAAAAGTTTCAGAACAGAGAAAATCACTTTTGGTCAGATCTCTATATATTTTTTTTAAGTTTTGCCCTAATCCTTTTCTGTATTAACTCAAGTAACTAAAAAACAAGAATCTAAATACTTTTTTGCCACAACCTCATTTTTTTTCTCAGAAAATTGAGTAAAAAAATGGAATTTTGACTTTTTGTCTGAAAAGTTTGAAAAAGTCAGAATTAACTATTGTTTTTCTGAGAAAAAAGTCGGAATTTGTACCTTTCTAACCAAAAGTGAGGTTTTTTTTCAGACAAAAATTCCAACTTTCTCAGAACTAAAAAAACCAAACCCAGAAGTTTGAAAAAAGTCTAAGTTTTTTCATTTCTGACCAAAAGTCAGGTTTGTTCCGGGTATAATAAGAATTTTGACTTTTTCTCAGAAATCAGATAAAAAAGAAAGGGATTGACTACTATATTGAATATATTGAAAACATATTTTTAGTTCTGAAAGTAAAGAATTCTGGAATAATAATTTTGACTAAAAGTAAAAAAAAGTCAGAATTTCTGAATTTTCCTTCCATGTTTTGGATTGAGAAAAACACTTTTTCTTCACAGAATTCTGAAAAGTTCAGAATAAAAAAACAAAACTTAAAACAAGTAAAAACCTTGACTATTTTTTGAGAATCTCTGAGCTTTGACTTTGTTTGGATCACCCCGCCTCTATTTCACTGAAAAGGTAGAGCAGTTGTTGTTAAAGTTGTAGCCTACATAATAGCAATACAAATGTTGTTATTCATAATCAAACTATGATAGTTAACAAACTATTATTTTAGCAGAACCCCTGGGTGAATCCAAACTAGAAGACGACGGCCAGTGTCATTCACAAGTGTAGAAACGCTGGTGAGTTGAGGCCTTAGCTCTTTGTTAGCACTTTGAAGGGCTAGCCTGCTAATATGACAATGACAGTTCGTTTTTGTTGTTAATGGTCAAGTTAAATTGACCATAAACAACCAATCGGGCTTATGAAAGTGATGTCTTGTGTTTTGTATGTACTTTGGTGCACACTGTATCATTGTAAATACATTTGAATAAGATCATTAGTATCTATCTAATGCTAATCACGAGCTAGCAATGCTAGCTAGCGCTAACTCTGTGAGCTGATGCTAAACGCTAGCAGAAGCTAATGGCTAACAGTAGGCCTACTTGTTAGTTCTGTACGCAAAGAAGCTGATAGCATGGCTTAATATTAAAGGAACATTGTTCTCATTTGACTTAAAGCCACTCTCTTTTAGTAGTTAATTCATGTCATAAGCTGTAGTGCAGCGACATAGCCTACTGACTCATGCTGTCTAAAATTGTTTTCATGTTCATGGTTAAGAATAACTGTTAAAAAGTGGTTAAAAACAGTCAATATTGTTGTTAAAAACCTACATTATATAACTCATTTATTTCAGCTTGAATGTAAGATGTGTTGTTTTGAAAATATAAGTTATTTATCACTAGTTAAAATACACATTGGTGATTAAAGTAAATCATTTAATTAGAAATGAAATATGCTTTAGTTTCTGTTTAAATTGTGAAACTTGCTAACTAAAGATGTTTATAAGATTCATGATAGTAAGGACACTTGTATTTGTATGTTAAATAACTCTATTTTTTATTTATTTTCACATTGTTGGCACAATTTAATCTGAATGTTTGTTTCTGCAATAAAATTGTAAAATGTTCAACTAAATGTAACTCTTCCCAGAGTTATTCACGGCATACCACTATTCAGACCTAGGTAGAGGTTAGTGCCTCTGTTCTTGGTGTGAGATAGAGCTAGACATATAATTGTTATTTGTAATTAGATCAGATGTTATACCTCCAGCGGACAGTAGTTGTATGCACCACGCTTCCCAGTTCCTGGTGTAAAACTGTGATTGTTAAATATTAATCAGGCTGATGAGCGTTTATCGTGTTACTCTGAGAGCAAAGGTCGTCTCAAGTTCGGCTTCATTTCAGAGTTTGACATTTCATGGATGGAAGCAAAGAGGATCTCACCTGGTGAGTAGACACACCTGAATTATAATTTAAATAAACTAAAGTAAACAAAGTGTATCATTGTACGAAATAAGTCGTTCTTAGTTGGTTGAGTAAAGACTACTAAAAACACTGAACACTAAAAGTATCTAACAAATGACATGTGTAATGTAATGTAATGACTGTTACTAACCCTGAGGTACATGTTCTACTCAGGTGATTAGCTGCAGCAGAATCACTGTTTGTAAAGTCACCACATTAGTACAGCAGAGCTAAAGGAATATATTCATTTTGCAATGAATCAAAATCATTTTTTGAGCGACTGTTTGAAATGTACTGGTACTGAGAAATGTATTCATGTGTTTTATTGTTCTATAACTATAAATGATAAGATTGGAGTCTGAAGTTCAGACTGAATGTGAACAAGAAAGTTGAAACCTTTTTGATAAGCATTATGACAGCTATAAAAACAAGATCAGAGTTGCCAGTTTACGACCCTTAGTAACACATTCACAGATTGTTAAGAACATGTTTTGTTTTGTCATATTAACAGCAAACCTATTTTCAAACTTGATTAACTTGACTTTATATACAAAGAGTAGACTATGAGTAGACTTTATTTCTATTATGAACTGAGAGTCTGACACATTTACATATCCTCTCCCTAGGTTCTTGAACCAAGCATTTGGTTTCCAGCTGAAGTAGATTTTTCCTGCAGTGACATTATGGCGACAGCATCAACAGGTGAGTTCAGAATGTATTATTGAGGATAACTAATATAAATAATTATAACCTTTGTACTATAGTAACATTTCTGTGAATCTGCTGTTAATTGTGATATATTACACAACATAAGTCATTTAAAAAGAACAACCAATCCTTCTTCAAGAATTCATGAAATATGTTGTGAATGTTCTGATTTATTTTAGTGTCAGAAGATTTGCAACCTGTGAAGCAGAGGCGCAGCAGCTATGAATTACTGCCACCTTCCAGTGAGTTTAACAGAACTGAGTCAAAATGATTTAATTGTAAATAAAAAAATTACTGTTTTGTAGATTGTGGGTACAAACAATTTTCTCCATTTAATTTATGCAAGCTCTCTGTTGATTTTAAAATATATTCCTTTCTCATTGGTTAATTATCCAATTAAGTTTTTGGTTGAAGAGTAGTTTTTCTAATTCTGTGTTTTCCTTTTCAGTGTCTGAGCTGAGGGTAGTTCTGCTGGGGAACAGCTGGGCTGAGAGGAGTTCAGTGGGGAACTTCATACTGGGAGACACTGTGTTCAACACTGAGGAAGAACCAGACCGGTGTCTGAGAGTCAGTAGTCAGTTAAAAGGAAAAGAAATAGTCCTTATCAACACCCCAGATCTGCTGCATCCCAAAATCACCCAATGGAGACTTTCACAAGATGTAAAAGACTGTGTGAGTCTCTCTGATCCTGGACCTCATGTGTTCCTGCTGGTTCTACAGCCTGAGCACTTCACTGAGAAACACAAACTGACACTCTGCAGAGTCCTGCAACTCTTTGGTGATCAATCATTCAATCATTCACTGGTATTAATATCACCACCTACAGAGGGGAGTTCAGGTTTCATTGAAAAGGTTATGCAACATCCACCATTACAAGACCTGATCAGAATGTGTAGATACAGATATTTGAGGCAGAACCTGGACCATTCAGAGCTGTTAACACGTTTGGGTCAAACTGCAAAGGAGAACAATGGAGAGCATGTGAGCTGTGATGTGTTTGAGGATGCAGGTTTGATGATGGCACCAAAGTCTGAACACATCAAACCAGCTTTAAACCTGGTTCTGTGTGGGAGGAAAGGAGCAGGTAAGACTTCAGCAGCCGAGGCCATTTTAGGTCAGAGAGAGCTTCCTTCAGTCTCCAACTCCTCATGGTGTGTTAAACATCAGGGAGAGGTGTGTGGGCAGAGGGTTTCCCTGGTGGAGCTCCCTGCTTTGTGTGGAACACCTCAGGAGGAAGTGATGGAGGAATCATTCAACTGTATCTCCCTCTGTGATCCTGAAGGCGTCCATGCCTTCATCCTGGTCCTACCTGTGGGTCCCCTCACTGATGAAGACAAGGGAGAGTTAGAGACCCTCCAGAACACATTTAGCCCTCGAGTCAACGACTTCACCTTGATTCTGTCCACTGTGGAGTCAGATCCTACAGCTCCAGCTGTTGTTAACTTACTAAAGGAGAACAAGGACCTCCAGGAGCTCCGTCAGAGATGTGGAGGAAGACATGTTGTTCTCAACATCAAGGACCAGCAGCAGATCCCAGAGCTGTTGGATGCTGTGCAAGAGATGAGAGGTAAAGGATGTAGGAGCTTTACAAAGGACATGTTCACCAAGGCTCAGATGGAGAAGGTTGTAGAGCTGGATAACACCAACAGAAGACTTAAAGCTGAACAGCAAGACGTTACAAAGAAAAGTCAGGAGGGAGATGTTGATGAAAGTCAGAACAGAGAGTGTCTCAGGATGGTGCTGATTGGGAAGATTGGCAGTGGGAAGAGTGCAACTGGAAACACCATTTTGGGCAAAGAATATTTTAAATCATCTGTCAGCTCAAAGTCAGTGACCAAGTTTTGCAAGAAAGAAACAGGAGAGATTGACGGACGTCCTGTCGCTGTGGTGGACACCCCCAGTCTGTTTGACACAACACTTTCCAATGATGAAGTTCAAGAGCAGCTTGTGAAATGCTTCAGCTTGTCGTCTCCTGGACCTCATGTGTTCTTACTGGTGCTGCAAATCGGCCGGTTTACCCAGGAGGAAAAAGACACCGTGGAACTGATCAAAAAAAGTTTTGGCAAGAGATCTGGAGATTTCATCATCCCTATATTCACCAGAGGAGATGAGCTGAAGGGTCAAACAATAGAGAGTTACATCCAATCTGATGCCCACTTGGAAAAACTGATCAATGACTGTGGAGGGAGATACCAAGTCTTCAATAACAAAGATCAGACCGACTGCACGCAAGTCAGAGAGCTGATGGAGAAGACCAACAAAATGCTGAAGGAAAATGGCGGCAGCTGCTTCACCTCAGAGATGTTTCAAGAGGCCGAGGCCGTAATAAAGAAGTACGTGGAGAAGATCCTGAAGGAGAAGGAAGAAGAAATGCAGAGAGAGAGGGAGGAGCTGCAACGAAAACACGAAGAGGAAATGGAAGCAGTGAAGATGAGAATGAAACAAGAGAGAGACGAAAGTGAGCAGAGAGCCAGACAGCTTAAAGAGATGGAGGAAAATATCAACAAGGAACAAGAGGAGAGGAAAAGAGATGAGGAGAAGAGAGTGAAAGAGGAGACGGAGAAGAAAAGGCAGGAAGAAATTCAACGAATGGAATGGGAGAAAAAACTTGTGAGTGGAGTGATGGAGCAGAGTAACGAAGAGATCAAAAAGCAAAAAGCAGAATGGGAGAAGGAGAGAGAAGCAGCTCGGATCAGACTACAAGAAGAAAATGAAAAGAAACGACTAGAGGAGCAAACAAGACTTCAAAGGTTGCAAAAAGAGTACGAGCAGGAGAAAGACAAACATGAACAACTAAGAAAAGAAGAAGACGGAAAGAGAAGAGAACAGGAGGAGGAGGGGAGAAAAGAGTTAGAGGAAAACTATAAAAAAAAGGAGGAGGAAATGAAGCTGAAATATGAAGAGGAGGCCAGAAAACAAGCTGAAGAATTCAACAATTTCAGACGCATATTCACGCTCATGAAGACAATTGAAGACCTAAAGAAAAACCTTGAAGAAGTAGAACCGAAAAAAAACGAACGCAAGTGTACCATCCTCTGATCTTCTTGCTGACTCATGATCATCATCACGTCAGCCGATAGAGCATCATGTCCTCTTCATTGACAGCAGATTTCTGGATGATAATTATCAAACAGGGTCCATCAGGCCACTCAGAAAGAACTAGCACTCATTGAGACATTTCCACTTTGTGAGTATTTTTTATAACCCATCCCATAATTTTGTGCATTATGTTGTTTAACCAGCTGAAGTAGAATGTTTTATTTTGTAATAGTCAATAGTTTAACCAAACCTCAAGGTGCAGATTGAACGTTGTCTGTTTTATGGATTTAAGGTTCAGTAAACTAACTTCAGTAATGTACAGATCAGTTGGTGTAGGTGCGTCTTTATAACATGGTGTGCTTTTCAGTGAGTAAATAAATGTATGAAATCCTCCTGCTACTGTGCAATAGTAAGGCTATCATTATTGTTGTCAACATGAATATTGAAATCAACCAGAATAATTACTTTATCTGTAAACCTGATAAAAACTCAGGAAATTCTGAAAGGAACTCTGAATAAGGACCTGGGGTGAGATACACTGCAACAAGTTAGAATGGCTGCAGTGTTTTCCAGTTTGTAAGACTAAGAACCAGGCTTTCAAAGGAGTTATAATTTAATTACGGTTTAGGATTGATAAGTAGAATCAAAGATGGCTGCAACTCCACCTCCTTGGCCTGTTCCTCAAGGAATATGAGTATGAATGTGACTGGGTGGAGTGGCCTCTCATCTGTTATTTTTTCATATATTTACTGTTGTGTCTTATTTGTATTATTACCTCTAAATGTGTATTTAGAGGTATATATATATATATATATATATATATATATATATATATATATAAGTAGGTATAAAGGTGTGTATGTACAGTATATGTATACATATGTATACATTTCCTTTTATATATTTGTATTCTTTGGGATGGTGAGAAACAGAATTTCGATCCCCCTGTCTGTGTAACACAAGTAGAGGAATTGACAATAAAGTTGACTTTGACTCATTTAAACTGACATGTTGTTTGAGTATCAGCCAAGTTTCAGTGAGTGATCATAAATACATGTTATCTTTGTTGCAGCCATTTTATCTGTATGTTTTATTTGTTAATATGTTGTAATATTCTCCTGAACACTGGGTGGTGTAGGGGAGCAGGGAAGCATAAAGGGGAGCTCACCAGGACAGGGGGATTGATTCAAAATTGTTAGAATAGACAGTATTGCAAATCGAAAATGTCATCTCAGTAAGAGTGTCCATGTTCATGGACTTGTGTTAATCAGTCAGTCACTGCCACTACTTAACGGCATCAACATTTTTTGCGTCATCCTTTGTTTTATTAACATATATCTCTCAATATGTAGAGCATGTGCTGCCACAAGAGGGCGCCCTGTCTGTGAGCAGCTTGTTCTCAAAGTGTTGGGGTTCCTGTTGAATGACCTGCAGCCTGACTGCTGTTTGTGCAGTGTGAATCCACTATGAGTCCCATTTCTGTTATAATCATTCATTTGTTTTAGTATCATGTGAAGTCCATTGTTGGTTCAATAAATACATCATTATAATTTCATTGTGTTCATGTTACCTCATTGCACACAAATGCGTTTTTACATGTTGTTTTGAAAGAATACAGTTGTCCTGGAGATGTAATGATGTGAATGTTAAAGTTAAAGTTAAAGTTTTTAATATTAACCTTGAATTGTAAAAGTGTGTCTACCCTTCTAAAACATCTGAAAATGTAATACAGTGGTGGGGGTGGTGATGTACTCTGAGGAGAGAATGCACCCCTCGGTGGTGGTGAGAGAAACTGCAGGCTGCAAGCATTTCTAATTATCATCCAAACTTCTTAACTATGTGATTCAACAGCTTCTATATTAACCATTTAAACTGTGAGCGTCACTCGGGACATTTTTGGCGTCACACTTTCTTATTTTTCAATAATTTGATTGAAAAACATTTTTTGAAACAGAGTTTTGATAAAAAGTAAACATTTTTGACTTTTTTTATATTTCTGGAAAAATCTCAGAATTCTGACATTTTTCCATGACTTGGGGAATTTATGTCCTTTAATGACCTTTAATATGGGAGTCTTTTTTTAATCTGTCACTTCACAAAAAAATAATTTTATGATTTGATATATTATGTACACAGACTGGCATTTAAATAGTATTTGGAAGTTATGATCAGGACTGAAATTGGTATAAAGATTGAACTCAATGAAAGTGGATAATAATATTAGCATTTAATATTAGGTTAGTTTTTTGAGGAGAATACATGTATCCTCTAAAGACCAATCAGAGCCATTTTCTTGTATTCATTTCATAAGCTGCAGTGCAGTTACATGCTCACTCATGCTGACTAAAATGCGTTTTCATGTTCATGGTGTTTAAAAACTGTTCAAATGGTTGTTAAAAGCTACAGTGTATAATGCATTTATTTCTGCTTGAATGTAAGATGTGTTCTTTGAAAATATAAGTTATTTATCACTAGTTAAAATACACATTGGTGATTAGAGTAAATCATTTGATTATCAATTGAATATGCTTTAGATACTGTTTAAATTGTGACACATGCTAACTAAAGATGTTTATATGATTCATGATAGAAAGGACACTTTTATTTGTATGTTAAAGTTCTCTATTTTTTATTTTACATTTATTTTCACATTGTGGGCACAATTTAATGTGAATGTTGATGTTTGTTTCTGCAAACAAATGTTAAAATGTTCAACTAAATGTAACTCTTCCCAGAGTTATTCACGGCATACCACTATTCTGACCTAGGTAGATGTTAGTGCCTCTGTTCTTGGTGTGAGACTAGAGCGGCTACACATAGAATTGTTATCTGTAATCATATGTTATACCACCAGCAGACAGTATAATTATATAAAACTGTGATTGTTAAATATTAACTAAGCGGACAGACGTTTATCGTGTGCTCAGCTCAGTCTGAGAGCAAAGGTCGTCTCCAGTTCGGCTTCATTGCAGAGTTTGACGTTTCACGGTTGGAAGCAAAGAGGATCTCACCTGGTGAGTAGACACACCTGAATTATTAATTGAATAAACTATAAAAACTAAAGTGTATAATTGTACGAAATAAGTCATTCTTAGTTGGTTGAGTAAAGACTAGGGGAGGCTCAGTTGTTTAGTGCGTTGATCTTCTGATCAGGGGAGCACTGGTTCCATCCCCACTTTCAGCATGTCGTTGTGTACCTGGCCACTTCACCCCAAATTGCTCCTGTGGGGATTTTCCACAGTATTGAATGTGTTTAAGTCGCTTTGCTTTGGATAAAAGTGTCTAACAAATGACATGTAATGACTGTTACTAACCCTCAGGTACATGTACTACTCATGCAGCTTAAAGGAATATATTCATTTTTGCAATGAATGAAAATAATTTTTGGGGTGACCATACCATACTGGTATTGAGAAACGTATTCATGTGTTTTATTGTTCTATAACTATAAATGATAAGATTGGAGTCTGAAGTTCAGACTGAATGTGAACAAGAAAGTTGAAACCTTTTTGATAAGCATTACAACAGCTATAAAAACAAGATCAGAGTTGCAAGTTTACGACCCTTGGAACCACATTAACCTGGTACCACTTGCATCACAACTATAACAGATTGGAAGATGATTTGTTTTTTTAAAGCATACTCATCGTCTAACCTAAGGTTTATCAATCATCTTTCACTTTTATAACGTTTTTAGAAACATAGTGTCAACATAGAGTCATTTACATAAAGTCCTTGTTTCAAAGTATTCGAAAATAGTTTTTGTCTCTTAAACACAGATTGTTAAGAACATGTTTTGTTTTGTCATATTAACAGCAAACCTATTTTCAAACTTTGATTCATTTGACTTTATATACAAAGAGTAGACTATGAGTAAACTTTATTTCTATTATGAACTGAGTGTCTGACACATTTACATATCCTCTCCTTAGGTTCTTTAACCAAGCATTGGGTTTCCAGCTGAAGTAGATTTATCCTGCAGTGACATTATGGCGACAGCATCAACAGGTGAGTTCAGAATTCATTATTGTGGATAATTAATATGAAGAATTATAACCTCTGTACTTTAGTAACATTTCTGTGAATCTGCTGTTTATTGTGATATATTACACAACATAAGTCATTTAAAAAGAACAACCAATCCTTCCTCAAGTATTCATGAAATATGTTGTGAAACCTGTTCTGATTTATTTTAGTGTCAGAAGGTTTGCAACCTGTGAGGCGGCGCAGCAGCTTTGCATTTCTGCCACCTGACTGTGAGTTTAACAGAACTGAGTCAAAATTATTTAATATAAATTAACATCTAAAATCACAGTTTTTTAGATTGTGGGTACACCATCATTTTTTTTCTCCGATTAATAGACGCAAGCTCTCTGTTGATTTTGCTAGTTTCAAGATAACAGCTGACACATTTAATCAAGTCCACCTTTTAAAATACATTACCTTTTCATTAATTGTTATCCAATTAAGTTTTAGGGTGAAGAGTAGTTTTTCTAATTCTGTGTTTCCCTTTTCAGTGTCTGAGCTGAGGGTAGTTCTGCTGGGGAACAGCTGGGCTGAGAGGAGTTCAGTGGGGAACTTCATACTGGGAGAGACTGTGTTCAACACTGAGGAAGAACCAGACCGGTGTCTGAGAGTCAGTGGAAAGTTAAAAGGAAAAGAAATAGTCCTTATCAACACCCCAGATCTGCTGCATCCCAACATCACCCAATGGAAACTTTCACAATGTGTAAAAACCTGTGTGAGGCTCTCTGATCCTGGACCTCATGTGTTCCTGCTGGTTCTACAGCCTGAGCACTTCACTGAGAAACACAATCTGAGACTCTGCAGATTCCTGCAACTCTTTAGTGATCAATCATTCAATCATTCACTGGTATTAATATCACCACCCAAAGAGGGGAATTCAAGTTTCAATGCAAATGTTATGCAACATCCACCATTAAAAGACCTGATCAGAATGTGTAGAAACAGATATGCGAGTCAGAACCTTGACCATTCAGAGCTGTTAACACGTTTAGGTCAAACTGCAAAGAAGAACAATGGAGAGCATGTGAGCTGTGATGTGTTTGAGGATGCAGGTTTGATCATGGCACCAAAGTCTGAACACATCAAACCAGCTTTAAACCTGGTTCTGTGTGGGAGGAAAGGAGCAGGGAAGACTTCAGCAGCCGAGGCCATTTTAGGTCAGAGAGAGCTTCCTTCAGTCTCCAACTCCTCAGAGTGTGTTAAACATCAGGGAGAGGTGTGTGGACTAAGGGTTTCCCTGGTGGAGCTCCCTGCTTTGTGTGGAACACCTCAGGAGGAAGTGATGGAGGAATCATTCAGCTGTATCTCCCTCTGTGATCCTGAAGGCGTCCATGCCTTCATCCTGGTCCTACCTGTGGGTCCCCTCACTGATGAAGACAAGGGAGAGTTAGAGACCCTCCAGAAGACATTCAGCCCTCAAGTCAACGACTTCACCTTGATTCTGTCCACTGTGGAGTCAGATCCTACAGCTCCAGCTGTTGTTAACTTTCTAAAGAAGAACAAGGACCTCCAGGAGCTCCGTCAGAGATGTGGAGGAAGACATGTTGTTCTCAACATCAAGGACCAGCAGCAGATCCCAGAGCTGTTGGATGCTGTGCAAGAGATGAGAGATAAAGGATGTAGGAGCTTCACAAAGGACATGTTCACCAAGGCTCAGATGGAGAAGGTTGTAGAGCTGGAACAGAACAGAGAGTGTCTCAGGATGGTGCTGATTGGGAAGACTGGCAGTGGGAAGAGTGCAACTGGAAACACCATTTTGGGAAAAGAATATTTTGAATCATTTGTCAGCTCAAAGTCAGTGACCAAGTTTTGCAAGAAAGCAACAGGAGAGATTGACGGACGTCCTGTCGCTGTGGTGGACACCCCCGGTCTGTTTGACACAACACTGTCCAATGATGAAGTTCAAGAGGAGATGGGGAAATGCATCAGCTTGTTGTCTCCTGGACCTCATGTGTTCTTACTGGTGCTGCCGATCGGCCGATTTACCCAGGAGGAAAAAGACACTGTGGAACTGATCAAAAAATGTTTTGGCAAGAGATCTGGAGATTTCATCATCCCTATAATCACCAGAGGAGATGAGCTGAAGGGTCGAACAATAGAGAGTTACATACAATCTGATGACCTCTTGAAGAAACTGATCAATGACTGTGGAGGGAGATACCAAGTCTTCAATAACAATCAGACCGACCGCAGGCAAGTCAGAGAGCTGATGGAGAAGACCAACAACATGCTGAAGGAAAATGGTGGCAGCTGCTTCACCTCAGAGATGTTTCAAGAGGCCGAGGCGGCCATAAAGAAGGAAATTGAGAAGATCCTGAAGGAGAAGGAAGAAGAAATGCAGAGAGAGAAGGAGGAGCTGCAACGAAAACACGAGGAGGAAATGGAACCAGTGAAGAGAAAAATGAAACAAGAGAGAGACGAAAGTGAGAAGAGGAGAGACAGACAGCTTCAAGACATTGAGGAAAATATCAACAAGGAACGAGAGGAGAGAAGGAGAGATGAGGAGAAGAGAGTGGAAGAGGAGAAGGAGAAGAAAAGGCAGGAAGAAATTCAACGAATGGAATGGGAGAAAAAACTTGTGAGTGGAGTGATGGAGCAGAGTAACAAAGAGAGGGAAAAGCAAAAAGAAGAATGGGAGAAGGAGAGAGAAGCAGAGCGGATCAGACAACAAGAAGAAAATGAAAAGATACGACAAGAGGAGAAAACAACACTTCAAAGGATGCAAGAAGAGTACAAGCAGGAAAAAGAAAAACATGAACAACTAAGAAAAGAAGAAGAGAGAAAGAGAAGAGAACAGGAGGGGAAGAAACAAATGGAGGAAAGCTATAAAGAAGAGGCCAGAAAACAAGCTGAAGAAAACAGTGATCTAAAAAGAAAAATCGAAAGCCTTGAAGAAGAACTGAAAAAGAAAGGCAAGTGCACCAGCCAATGATCTTCATACTGACTCTTCATCATCACGTCAGCAGATAGAGCATCATGTCCTCTTCATTGAACAGCAGATTTCTGGATGATAATTCTCAAACAGGGTCCATCAGGCCACTCTGAGACATTTCCACTTTGTGAGTATTTATTATAACCCATCCCATAGTTTTGTTTCTATGCATTATGTTGTTTAACCAGCTGTAGTAGAATGTTTCACTTTTTAATTGTCAATAGTTGAACCAAACCTCGAGGTTCAGATTAAATGTTGTCTGTTTTATGGTCAAATAACTTCAGTAATGTACAGATCAGTTGGTCAAGGTGCATCTTTTTAACATGGTGTGCTTTTCAGTGAGTAAATACATTTATTAAATCAATCATGCTATGGAAAATGTTTAATCAATCAATCACAAATGATTTTTATATCACACATTTTACATGTGTTTAATAGAGGGTTTAATGCAATAGTAAAGCTATCTTTATTGTTGTCAACATGAATATTGAAGTCACCCACGATAATGACTTTATCTGTTTTAAGCACTAAATTTGCCTCTAAATGTGTGTATATGTATATTTGTGTCATATAAGTGGGTGTAAAGGTGTGTATGTATTTCGATCCCCCTGTCTGTGTAACAAAAATTGAGGAATTGACAATACAGTTGTCTTTGACTCATTTAAGCTGACATATTGTTTGAGTATCAGCCAAGTTTCAGTGAGTGATCATAAATACATGTTATCTTTGTTGCAGCCATTTTATCTGTATGTTTTATTTGTTAATCTGTTGTAATATTCTCCTGAACACTGGGTGGTGTAGGGGAGCAGGGAAGCATAAAGGGGAGCTCACCAGGACAGGGGGGGTGTATGAAACTGTTTTTATTTTGTTTTTATATGATCAGAATAGACAGTATTGCCATTTACTCAGTGGTTTTGAGTCGAACATGTCGTCTCAGTAAGTGTGTTCATGTTCATGGACTTGTGTTAATCAGTCACTGCCACATTTGCCAAAACAATGTTGTGTCATCCTTTGTTTTATTTACATATACCTCTCAATATGTAGAGCATGTGCGGCCACAAGATGTCGCCCTGTCTGTGAGCAGCTTGTTCTCAAAGTGTTGGGGTTTCTGTTCAATGATGTGCCATAAAGACACTTTTCTTGAAATACTGTGCACTAATCACCTTTATGTGAAACCATCATTGTAATGAATGTCCCAACATTTCTTTTTGTGTGTCAATAAGTTCTGAAGTTCATCATTTTTAGCCATGGATGTGCACTTACCTACTTATGTGTCTTTATGTATATTCTGGTATAGGTAATGTGTGTTTTCTTCTATATATTAATATGTTAGCTTATTCTGTGTTATTGCATACCTTCTTTTTTTTTACCTGCTATGCCACTTTTGCTGTAACAATGTACATGTCCCCGCTGTAGGACTACAAAAGGATTTCTGATTCTGAATAAATACATAATTCTAATTTCATTGTGTTCATGTTACCTCATTGCACACAAATGCAATAATAGAATAATAGAGTTTTCCCAGTTGTCCTGGAGACGTAATGCTGTGAATGCATGTATAGAACATATACTTTACTTTGGTAAAGTTTTGAATACAAACCTTGAATTGTAAAAGTGTGTCTACCCTTCTACAACAATTGAGAATGTAATACGTCAGTGGTGATGTTGATCTACTGTGAGGAGAGAATGCACCCCTCGGTGGTGGTGAGAGAAACTGCAGGCTGCAAGCATTTCTAATTATCATCCAAACCTCTTAAAGCTCCCATGTCATGCTTTTCCGGTTATTACCCGTCCCCTTGTGTGTTATGAAGGTTTTTATGCATGTAAACGGTGTGCAGAGTCAAAACCCTCAAAGTACACCCTGTAGCGAGTAAAACTCTAACACAGAAAATACCTCCCCAAAACGCCTCGTTGGAGATACGTCACTGCCCATTTGATTCTTCCGGGTACCGCCTGATGTCATGCGGTACCCGGAACGAAATGGACCAATCCCGAAGAGCTATGGCCACACCAGCAGCGGCGTGTTCCTCCTCCAGAGGTTCGAAGAACCGGCATTTCACAGACGAAAGCTTCCAAAACATTGCCCAGTTTGAGGCCGGATATGCACAGCTTGTTTGGACCGTTTGGAGCAGGGGAAGATCCGGGTATACAACCTGTAAGTTTGCATTGTTATTTGTGTATTTATTAGGGCTGTCAGTCGATTAAAATATTTAATCGCGATTAATCGCATGATTGTCCATAGTTAATCGCCATTAATCGCAAATTAATCGCACATTTTGTATCTGTTCTAAATGTACCTTAGAGGGATATCTTTCAAGTTTTTAATACTCTTATCAACATATGAGTGGACAAATATGCTTTATATGTTTGTTTATTATCATTTGAACAATGACAAATATTCTCATGAATATTAAACACAACAACCTCTGAACATTACAAATATTCGCTTCAATTCAACCTAGAACCTCTCTCATACAATAATACTGTGTGTGTGTGTGTGTGTGTGTGTGTGTGTGTGTGTGTGTGTGTGTGTGTGTGTGTGTGTGTGTGTGTGTGTGTGTGTGTGTGTGTGTGTGTGTGTGTGTGTTGTGTGTGTGTGTGTGTGTGTGTGTGTGTGTGTGTGTGTGTGTGTGTGTGTGTGGAGACACTGTGATGGATCGTTGAGCTATGTGCAGCTCAAGGCATATATGCTCGAATGGGAGCTGCCTGGACGCTGCAATAATGTTGCGCTGACTTTTCGTACAATGTCCCACTGTCTGGCTACCTGCATAAAGTCAAGTGCTCGGCGCAGTTGTCGGCGAAATGTCATTGAAACAGCTCCTTATATCCGTTAGCGCAGCTAGCTAGCACCAGATGCTAACAACAACACGTAGGTGTGCCTCGCTCGCGCGAGTCGCGCCACACATACACACTCCCTCCCGGTCCTCCCGATGGCCAGTCCGGGCCTGCCAGTGAGCGTGGAAGTGTGGTCTGCCACAAGCGGGCGGCAGGAGCGGGGCTGTCAGCATCAGCTTGTCGATGGTATTTTACACTCGATGCGCTCTGAAACTACGGCGGCCGAGGACAAAAAATACACATGCGTTAATCGCGTTAAAATAATTAGTGGCGTTAATTTTTTTTTGCGTTAACGCGTTATTAACGCGTTAACTTGACAGCCCTAGTATTTATCAAACAAGACTGTTTAAATGTGTAAACTGTGTTGGACTGCTAAGCCATTGACAAAGTGCTAACTGTGCTAACTAAGTTGCTAGAGTTTCCATATATCAACTCTAATATCAGCAGATGGCCTTGCATACATGTATCTCATAGCAGGAGAATGTCTGCATTCACACACAAAATACCTATTGACAGTATACTCCGGGTGATTTGCCGTGCGGTCAGTCGCGAAACGTAATTACAGCTGGCGTAGCGTGTATGCAACCGATCTAACACACGGAGCTAGAGCTAGATTTGGTCGGAAAAAACATTTTTGTGATGCTACGTTGCTAGCGTTTAAATATATCAACTACAATGTCAGCAGATGGCCTTACATGTTTGTCATGGCAGGAGAATGTCTGCAGTCACACACACGGAATACTCATACAGTATAGTCCGGGTGATTTACCGTACATTGTGACAGTACATATACTGCATGTAGCTAACGAGGCTAGCTGTATGCTAGCGCAAAACAATGTATTCATGCAAGTTACATTGTATGGTAGCAGAATACCCGTATACGATTGCAATTATAAACACGTTATTGCTAGCCTAATATGAACCACTAGCTTTTGTTCATAGTAGTTTTATTACACTGCATTATAGTTGCCTTTCCTCCAAGCTAACGTTCATATCGTGTTAGCTACCAAGGTAAACAAAGCTAGGTTAGCATATTAGCAGGCAAGCTGTTCATTACACAACTACTACTAACGAATCTAAAACAACTAAGTTTCTCTAATATTTTGTGATTTGCATTTGATTTCGTCCAGCCAGATCCTGGCGGACAATCCATGACGGGGACGGGACTTCTACTACTACTGAGGCCTCGTGCTAAAAGGCACCGCACCGCACCGGCTGTGCGCAGGCAAGAGGAGGAGGAATGGATGATATACCGTGTATATATGTATATTTATGTTCATTTTGTACATTTCTAAAAATAAAATTTAATGGAAATACTTAGTAGGCCTATCCTTTCTTCCCTGAATTCATATATTAGCAAACCATGATTTGATTTCTCATCAAACAGTAGTAGTTTATTACAGGTAAAAATAACTTACTCTTTGTTATGTCGGCTCGTAGGCCACAACGGAAAGACAAGGAGACATACACGAGTTTACAAAACCATGGCACATTTATTGTGGTAAATGCAGAGATAGGTGGTCGAGGGGAGAGGGTCGCTCAGTTCGTCCTTCTGCAGCCGCTTTGGAGAGAGACTCCGGGCCGCTGGGATTAATAGCACCGGCTACGGAGGTGTCCGTGATCGCGCTGATTACCCTCTTCAGCTCCACCCCACCGTAAGCCCTGCAACACACCTGCACAAAGGCCCTGGGGCCGTCACACTCTTCTATAACAACAGTTGTAGGTTCAATTCGGTTAGTTAGTATAAAATATCAGCTGTACCGACGCCATTATTACACTGATGTTCCCCGAAAAAAGCGGGCGGAGCCTCTCTGGTGGTTGACTAATCAGAACAGAGTGGCCGAGCTGACCAATCGGAGCACACTAGGCTCACAGGGAGGGGGGGGGCAAGAGCTCCAACGAGTCGTTTAGTGGAGAAAGTGAATACTGCTGAATACACATGCTTGACAGAGATGCTGTATGCGAAACCAATGTGAGTTTGGAAAATTGCACAGTATAAATCTATTTTAGTATACCTCAACAATGTAATTATGATCAGTGGAAATGGCCATGACATGGGCCCTTTAACTATGTGATTCAACAGCTTCTATATTAACCATTTAAACTGTGTGCGTCACTCAGGACATTTTTGGTTTGACGCTTTCTTATTTTTCTATAATTTTGATTGAAAAACATTTTTCTTTTTTTTGGGAGTTTTGATAAAAAAAAGTCTGAATTTAGACTTTTTACTTTTGATCAGAAAATGATTTTGGTTTGACAAGTCAAAATCTTGACTTCTGACTTTTTTTATCAGAACATTTAAAATAATTTTGACTTTTTTCAGAATTCTGGAAAAAGTCATAATTTTGATGCGGATCGGGCAGGGATGCGGATCGGTAGTGACCTCTCTTCCCCTCCTCCGGGACTTGACCCGGAAATCGATCAAGACACGCCATTTTGAAGGACGTCCCAATAGCTGAAATCATGGATGTATAATAAGAACTGGATACAGCGTGGGAGGCGGGGCCTCATTCATTCCTATGAGAGTTGCTCATTCGCGCATGAGGATAAAATGGCCCAACTTTTGAGAGAGCGAAACGTCACAGATTACCCGGCATGCCTGAGAAGTACCCGTATGTGCGCTCATAGCGCATGCGCAACTTTAACCATGCCCCCCAAAATGCTCGTTCACATCAAGCACGTCAATTTGCGTACACGTAACAGCACCGCACGTTCATGACAGCATGGTAATGGTTTGTTATGATAGATTTGATATTACAACCCAGTCTCACGGCATTTCGTGTTATTAGTCACGAAATTAATTTAATCTATTGATTCGTGTTCACCAACACGATTTTCACCTTTTTTTCGTGTCACACAGAACGATTTTAAATGCAATGTATTTCTATTGGTAGTATGTTTCGTGCCTGCACCACGTCTTTTTGTCCGGTCGGGTCTTGGAAGACCAGAAGCTGTGTGGTTCATAAAAACATGTTCTTACTCAATATCTTACCCTAAGCCTAACCCTATCCCTTTTATTTTAAATTGTATAATGTCTGAGTTTTTTTGCCGTCAGTGAGGAAAAGAAATGGCTCAGAGCCTCAGAATACTGACATCTGTATTTTATGGCATCTTTTTTTCCTTCTAATTTGTTATTATTTGGTGCAGGCACGAAACACACTACCAATATAAATACATTGCTTCTAAAATCGTTCTGTGTCAGAATACTGAAATCTGTATTTTTTTAAATGTCTTTTTCCTTCTAATTTGTTATTATTTACATTGCTTTTAAAATCGTCTGTGTGACACGAAAAAAATGGCGAAATCGTGTTGGTGAACACGAATCAATAGATTAATGTCGTGACTATAACACGAAATGCCGTGAGACTGTGTTGGATATTAACGAGGCGGCAGTTAGCAGCTAGCGGTTAGCTAGTAATTATGCTAATTTACACATCAATCGTTATGTACTTTTATATTACGCTGTAACAGGATCTAGTGATATCCAAGCAACAGAGCTTAATTTAGCATGAAAGAATTATTGCACTGTATATATATATATATATATATATATATATATATATATATATATATATATATATATATGTATATATATATATATATGTATATATATATATACAGTGCAATAAGCTTCTTAGTGCAATAAGAAGCTACAGGGACGTTAATCTACATCGTTAATCTATTAACTTTATTTAATACAACATTTACGGTACAAGATTTAATAATACAGCCCATGTAGTATAAATGATGAATTACAAATGATGAATTACAGCAAACATGTGCAATATATCCATTATTACAGCTCCGTGGGCTGGCAGTAAGGCGATATGGGTCCGTTCTTATTGTACATCCATGGGTAAAGATAAACGCATGTACTAGTGCTGAACACGTAACATGAACGTGCCGGGCGGCGCGGTCCCGTGGGTTAGATGCGCGTTCATAATGCAGAGGGAAATAACTCTCAGAATAACGTTATTAGCACATTTTTACAACTTGAGGAACGAATGTTTTTAATAAGGGCTATACAAGTGTTCATACTGGGTAGTTTATTTAGTTTAAAAAAAATTATCCAACGATTTACAGACCACTCTTTCCCCATGTAAGTCAATGGGAAAAAGTGTTTCCGGGCCTGGCAACCAAAAGGAAGTGTAGTACCGCCGTTTGGCCAGCACGAATATTTTCATCAGAGTCCGGCGCACTTCCTGGGGACTTGGCTGAATGCACACGAAGGAGTCGAGGAGAGGTGAGGGAGGAGGGGTGCGGGAGGACACGAAAGGGAGGATACACGAGAGCAGACTACGCGGAAGTGTAGTTCAACACAGGAAAACGGAGAACTGGAAGAATGAGTGGAAAAGCGTCACATAAATGTATAAGTGCTCACAGCTCCGTGGGAATTATTATGTGCAATTCATTTCTTAAGGTTATACTAACAATTTAAGTCATGTTTAATGATCTTGAACGTCACTAAAACATAGCTATTAAGAAAGCTATTTCATAAATGGCTAGATCTTGATAAATACAAATTATTTGTTTTGTTTTGTGTTAAAATATTCAGGAGTTAAATTATTTTAAATGCACAGTCCTGAATGTGGGTTTGTGGTGAATGTGGGGATCTACAGGACACACATTTTCCGAGTAAAGGCTTTCACATTATTATAATTATAATTTTATTGAAATGTACATTTTACACCAAAACGGAACACAAAAGCAGGACCAACCATCATACATTGAATTCCTTGACTAAAAAGAGAAAGATTCATAATTTAAATACATATTTAACAATAAATGGGCCGGTTCGAAGGGGTTATTCAGTTAAACCCAATGAGAGGGGATACAGCTGTGCACATGTCATCATTAACAGACGTCGTTTAAGAGTGACGTTTGAGTGAACGAGGACATCCCAATTAATACCTGAGGACTCCTCTGTCCTCGCGTAACCTCCTCGTGTCTCTCGCTCGCATCTTACGGAGGCGGAGCTAAGACACAAGGAAGGGACGCGAGTGAGGGAAAGGAGGAGTCGAGGAGGGGTATTGAGACGAGGCTTGTGGCTGCGTTTCACTTCGGTTAAATGGATTCCTTGCGTCCCTCACTTGCGTTGTTTCCCTGCGACTAGTCCCTCCCACCAGGGAAGCATGGAGAGACGCAAGGAAACCACGAGAAGCAGGGAAATTAGTTTTAAGAGCAATGGGACGTCCTTTCCTCCGGAGCATCACGTGAAGCGACGTCCGTTTGTGATGACGCTGCACAGCTGATCGTCTGACAGCAGCTCTGTCCCCGTTATTTTCACAAACACCCCCGCCTCTGTTAGTACACATTTACTGACACAAACATTTGTATCATCTGTTGTAGACCCAAATAAATCAAATAAGAACTCATTCTCAAAAAAGATAAACGCCATTCTTAAAATGTATAATGTGTAGTGATCACTGATTCATACACTGGGGTTACATAATTCAATCCAGGAACTACAGGTTGGGGGTATTGTTTCGCACGGACACATATCTTGACGGTACCTCCGGGGTACCTACTGTGTGTGTGTCTCTTGCACTTTCTCTGATCATCTCATCCTGCAACCCGACAGCATGTCGATTTCTGCTCCTCAATAAACTGAGATTTGCACCTTCGATGCACCGCCTCCGTCTTCTTCTTCTTCTCTCGGCACTACATTGGTGACCCTGACATAAGTCTCGCGAAGGTTCCGAGACTGAATCGAACACGGCAAAAAACATACTGTTTTTCTTGAAATGCCGGAGATTTTTGGAGACGTCCGTGGCTGCCACTTGTGCGCGGACTGGGGCTCGGTGCGCCCTCCGGAATGGACGCGGACGACGCTCGCCATTTCCACGGCTTTTCGGCTCTGGGGGTCAGCAAGCCTTCCATGGAGCCGATACGCGACCGTGCCGGGTTTATTCGGGACATGCGGCTGCATGTCCGGCCTGCGACTAACGGCCGCCGAGAACAGCTACCAACGACTGCTGGCAACGGCTGACGGTGACTAGCAGCTACCAGCGGCTATCGACATCCGACTGTTTTGTTTTTGTTTTTGTCTTTTGTGGTGCCTGAGAGGAGGTTCGATCAAGTCTGGTCGGCCTCGCGTGGATCCTCTCGCTATTTCGCCCACCTGTTTTTGTTCGTGGACGGGACGACAATTTTTGAGCTTTTTCTGGTGCCTGAGAGGAGGTTCGACCATGTCTGGTCGGCCTCGTGTGGACCCTCTCGCTTTATCGCCACCTCGACGGCGGTTTCGGACGTCACACACGCCTGCTTCGGCCCGTGGGTGACGCGCGTCTGGACCCCGTCTCGCCTCTTCCTTCGCCTCGGCGGTTTCGAAACGTCGCCCGTGCCTTCATCGGCCCGTGGGTGGCGCGCTTCGGGACCCTGCCTGGCCTCACCTCTAACCGCGGCTCACGGTTCGCCTCGACGGCGCCCCGTCTGGCCTCTCCCCTGTCCACGGCTCCCTCCTCCCGGGGACACGGCTCCTTCCTCCCGAGGACTTCGTGCCCGCCGCCGCTGTGCCTTCGCCTGCGGCCGGGCAGCGCTCCTCCCTGCTGGGGACCACCGGGTTTTTCACGCCTGTCCCCACGTTGCTACACGGCGACCCAGTGCGCATGTGCGAGATGGTCCGCCATATTGGACTCAAATATCTATATACAAATATTTTGTTATTTGATTTGAAATAAAATGAAGGACATTCACAGTTAATGTAATTAGATATAAATTATGAATGCCATACATATTGCATACATTCACAGTCAATATTTCTTCAGTATGTAATGATACTGTAGCTGTCTAACAGAAGTTAAATCAATTTCTCACTTATTCTGACAATGTACTTAACCCAATAAAATGACCCAATAAAAGGAGTTGGTCAATAATAGTGAAGTCACGTTGTAATAACAATAACTCATCTCTCTCGTTCAGATTAATATTGTCGAGTTTTTTGAGTGTTCTTTTTCTGCTTTGCCAAAAGCCACTGTGTCAAGAGTCCTATTAGAGTTGCCGTATGTAGTTGTCAAATATGGCGGACCATCTCGCACATGCGCACTGCAGATAGGGCAGGGCTGCATATCGAGTAGTGACAACTGTCGTGACAACGGGTGAGTACATTACTATTCTCATCATTTTAGAGCGACGTGAGAGTGCACAATGACATCAGTTTAATAATAGATTACTTCATTGATCAATGTTGGGAGAGACTGTTTGGCATAATGTGCGCATTATTAGATCGTGGCTGCGTTGGCTGGAACAGAGACGTGTAAAGTGTGTGTACTGTATGTGCTTTTCAATTGTTTACTGAAGGCCCTGTCTAAAGCCCCACGGTGCGCCACTGGTAACACATTAACTTTGTACCACTAACATCACCACTATAGCTATGAATACGAAACTAAAACATAGATTGGTAGATGATTTCTTTTTAAAAGCAAACTCATCGTCAAACCTAATGATTATAACAAACTTCTTTTCACTTATATACAGTTTATAGAAACATAAGAGTAGTTTAGGAAGTCATTGTTTCACAATATTTTAAAAATAAAATTGTCTCTAAAACAAAGATTGTTAAGAGCATGTTTTGTTTTATTAACAACAAAACTATTTTCAAACTCTCCCTAGGTTCTTTAACCAAGCATTGGGTTTCCTGTTGAAGTAGATTTGTTCCTGCAGTGACATTATGGCGACAGCATCAACAGGTGAGTTCAGAATGTATTATTGTGGATAATTAATATAAAGAATTCTAACCTTTGTACTTTAGTACAAAAGTACACAAGCCTGTGACATAAGATTTTCAACTGCATAATTACTCTGTAGCTATGTCAGATTGACAATAAAGAACCTTGAACCTTGAACCTTAGTAACATTTCTGTGAATCTGCTGTTTATTGTGATATATTACACAACATACATTTACGTCATTTAAAAAGAACAACCAATGCTTCCTCAAGTATTCATGAAATATGTTGTGAATGTTCTGCTTTATTTTAGTGTTACCAGATTTGCAACCTTTGAAGCGGAGCAGCAGCTATGAATTACTGCCACCTGAATGTGAGTTTAACAGAACTGAGTCCAAATTATTTAATGTAAATTAACATCTAAAATCACAGTTTTGTAGATTGTGGGTACACCATCATTGTTTTCTCCATTTAATGTATGCAAGCTCTCTGTTGATTTAGCTAGTTTCAAGATAACAGCTGACACAATAGGCGCGTTCACCCCAAGTACTTTGCAGTACTTAGTTCCGGCACTCAGTGCCCCGGCACTTTTTACCCCAGGGCACTTAGTACCAATCGCGTTCACACCGGAGTACTTTTCCCTGAGGGAAGATTACGCAAATGAGCCGCTGACGTCACTTCTTCTTCTTCTGCTTTGGCTTTACTGGCAGGCCACAAACCACTTCACGGCGAGTACAGTAGGTGGCGGTATGCACCTTAAAGTTGTTTGCAATCCGCTACAAAAACAAGAGAAGAAGAAGAAAAACTTCCCGCGTATACTGTGACGCCCACCCACTCGCTGTACATTAGGCATCTGTTGTTTACCTTCCGACCTCAGACATGATGGAGATGGAGTCGACTGAAGTTGTGCTGTTTGTGCTCATGTTATACAGCTTTGTAACTGAGTTAATGCAGCCTGAGCCTGAGCCTGAGCCTGAGCCAACTAGGCCTCCGACACAAATCCGGAGCCGCCACCCGTCGAATGCTATAATCGCAAAGCTGCTTCAGCATCAAAGGCAGTTAAAAAGCCTTAAGTGCATGTAGTTGATTTTACCTTCGTCGTGGTCGTCATCGTTGGCCACTGAATCCGCCGTTTGAGCGGCCTCCCACACCATCGTGCCCGAATCGAAGGTCGATGCTGTCCCGGAGAATGAAGGTCTGTGGCCTAGCAGAGCATCCAAGCGCTCGTACCATTTACTGGTCTTCCGGTCGTTACCACTCTTGTTATTATAGCCTTTCATTTTTTTGTAGTCCTGCCTGAGTTTCTTTATTTTTAGCCGGCGTGCCGTGGCGCTGTGCACGATTCCCAGCTCGAGTAACTTTTTCGAACAGCGCTCGAACATTTTGGAGTTGGGTACTGGCTTCAGTAGCATTCTCTGGGTCGCGTCCTCGGCGTAGATTTCCAGAAGCGCCGACACCTCCTCATCACTCCACCGCTCCGATGATTTATTGATGCTTGCAATAACTGCTTTCAAAACAAACTACTCTCCGTTGGTGCGCTGGGTTTATGTAGCGAGCAAATAAAATGGCAGCTCTACAAAACATTTCAGAGTTTTACGGGGCGCGGTTTGCAATTCGCCCAGCCAATCAGAACTGGGGCACTTTTTTCCCCCAGGAAATGACCATCTCTCAGCAGGCACTAAAAATGGGGGTAAAAGTTCCCGAGATTAAGTGCTCTTTTTGGTGTGAACGCGACATAAGGGGTACTAACGGAACTAAACGCGAAAAGTACGGGGAAAAGTACTCCGGTGTGAACGCGGCTATTTACTCAAGTCCACCTTTTAAAATATATTACCCTTTCATTGGTTGATTACCAGGGTTGGGTTGTAACGGAATACATGTAACGGGGTTACGTAATCAGAATACAAAAATCAAGTAACTGTATTCAGCTCGCGTTACATTTGAAAAACGAGTAATCTGATTACAGTTACTTTCGTAAACCTGAAGTGAATACATTTTGGATTACTTATTGGAATTATTGGTGGAAAGATTTCCTCACAACATTTAATATTCATTACTAAAGGTACAGCCGAATCATCACAGCGCACAAAACCTATTACCGCCGCAGATGGACCAAAAAAGGGAGCGTTTGAAAAGAATTTGCGGGTCCGCTCAGTGAAACAATAACCACGAAACATGGAGGAACAAAAGTGTGTGTGTGTGTGTGTGTGTGTGTGTGTGTGTGTGTGTGTGTGTGGTGTGTGTGTGTGTGTGTGTGTGTGTGTGTGTGTGTGTGTGTGTGTGTGTGTGTGTGTGTGTGTGTGTGTGTGTGTGTGTGTGTGATGTGTGTGTGGTGTGTGTGTTGTGTGTGTGTGTGTGTGTGTGTGATGTGTGTGTGTGTGTGTGTGTGTGTGTGTGTGTGTTGTGTGTGTGTGTGTGTGTGTGTGTGTGTGTGTGTGTGTGTGTGTGTGTGTGTGTGTGTGTGTGTGTGTGTGTGTCTGTGTGTGTGTGTGTGTGTGTGTGTGTGTGTGTGTGTGTGTGTGTGTGTGTGTGTGTGTGTGTGTGTGTGGTTTAAAACACATCAGCCTGCGGTCGCTCGTTAGCCTTTCTAATGATTCTGAAGGTAAACACAGTGAAGGCGGTGTGTGAAAGGCACTGCACGCTCCTCTTCTCAGAGGCTGAGTTAACCCTCCCGCTGCCTCCTGGTGCCGCAGAGATTTCATGAAGTGAAGGAGGTTTTCCTTCTATAAAACAGCTGTGGGCAGCAGATACTGTGAGTGTCACGGACATGAATTCATAGATCAAGGCAGACTGGTGCACACACTCTCCTGTTTTGCCAATCCGGTGCTTAAACAAATATAGCTCTCCACCCCTGGCCGAAATGTCCTTAAAATTAAGTCCGAGTTTGACATTTTAATTCATGTCCTGCCAACACTGGCAGGACAGAAGGCGACACGCCCGTTCTAAGCCGTGTCCCTCACTCCTCACATCCCAAGCTGCATCCCCAAAAAGTGTATTATGTTCTTACATCGTTTCAGATGTTATGTTTCAGTTGTGCTCTTGATAAGCCATTAAAACAGTAAAAACACGTTTAGTTTCCTTTTGCTTTTTGTGTCTCCTGTACACCAAAACATACCAAAAAGAAAGTAATCCAAAAGTAATCTAAAAGTAATCTGATTACGTTACTTTTTTAAGACACGTAACTATATTCGGATTACTTTCAGAGCCATGTATTCAGTAATCAGTAACTGATTACATTTACATGTAAGTAACCCTCCCAACCCTGTTAATTACCCAATTTAGTTTTTTGTTGAAGAGTCATTTTTCTAATTCTGTGTTTTCCTTTTCAGTTTCTGAGGACAAACCAGCTTTAAACCTGGTTCTGTGTGGGAGGAAAGAAGCAGGGAAGACTTCAGCAGCCGAGGCCATTTTAGGTCAGAGAGAGCTTCCTTCAGTCTCCAACTCCTCAGAGTGTGTTAAACATCAGGGAGAGGTGTGTGGACAGAGGGTTTCCCTGGTGGAGCTCCCTGCTTTGTGTGGAACACCTCAGGAGGAAGTGATGGAGGAATCATTCAGGTGTATCTCCCTCTGTGATCCTGAAGGCGTCCATGCCTTCATCCTGGTCCTACCTGTGGGTCCCCTCACTGATGAAGACAAGGGAGAGATAGAGACCCTCCAGAAGACATTCAGCTCTCGAGTCAACGACTTCACCTTGATTCTGTTCACTGTGGAGTCAGATCCTACAGCTCCAGCTGTTGTTAACTTTCTAAAGGAGAACAAGGACCTCCAGGAGCTCCGTCAGAGATGTGGAGGAAGACATGTTGTTCTCAACATCAAGAACCAGCAGCAGATCCCAGAGCTGTTGGATGCTGTGCTAGAGATGAGAGGTAAAGGATCAAGGAGCTTTACAAAGGAAATGTTCACCAAGGCTCAGATGGAGAAGGTTGTGGAGCTGGATAACACTAACAGAAAACTTAAAGCTGAACAGCAGGACGTTAAAAAGAAAAGTCAGGAGGGAGATGTTGATGAAAGTCAGAACAGAGAGTGTCTCAGGATGGTGCTGATTGGGAAGACTGGCAGTGGGAAGAGTGCAACTGGAAACACCATTTTGGGCAGAAAACAATTTGAATCTATTGCCAGCCCAAAGTCAGTGACCAAGTTTTGCAAGAAAGCAACAGGAAAGATTGATGGACGTCCTGTCGCTGTGGTGGACACCCCCGGTCTGTTTGACACAACACTGTCCAATGATGAAGTTCAAGAGGAGATGCTGAAATGCATCAGCTTGTTGTCTCCTGGACCTCATGTGTTCTTACTGGTGCTGTCAATCGGCCGATTTACCCAGGAGGAAAAAGACACTGTGGAACTGATCAAAACATTTTTTGGCAAGAGATCTGGAGATTTCATCATCCCTATATTCACCAGAGGAGATGATCTGGAAGGTCAAACAATAGAGAGTTACATACAATCTGATGCCCACTTGGAAAAAGTGATACATGACTGTGGAGGGAGATACCAAGTCTTCAATAACAGAGATCAGACCAACCGCAGGCAAGTCAGAGAGCTGATGGAGAAGACCGACAAAATGCTGAAGGAAAATGGCGGCAGCTGCTTCACCTCAGAGATGTTTCAAGAGGCCGAGGCGGCCATAAAGAAGGAAATGGAGAAGATCCTGAAGGAGAAGGAAGAAGAAATGCAGAGAGAGAGGGAGGAGCTGCAACGAAAACACAGGGAGGAAATGGAAGCAGTGAAGAGAAGAATGAAAGAAGAGAGAGACGAAAGTGAGAAGAGGAGAGACAGACAGCTTCAAGAAATGGAGGAAAATATCACCAATGAACGAGAGGAGAGAAGGAGAGATGAGGAGAAGAGAGTGAAAGAGGAGAAGGAGAAAGAAAGGCAGGAAGAAATTCAACGAATGGAGTGGGAGAAAAAACTTGCCGGAGAAAGAGAGCAGAACAAAGAAGAGATAAAAAAGCAAAAAGCAAAATGGGAGGAGGAGATTAAAGCAGCGCGGATCAGACAACAAGAAGAAAATGAAAAGATACGACTAGAGGAGCAAACAACACTTCTAAGGTTGCATGACGAATACGAGCAGGAAAAAGAAAACCATGAACGACTAAGAAAAGAAGAAGACAGGAAGAGAAGAGAACAGGAGGAGGAGATAAAACAAATGGAGGAAAATTATGAAAAAGAACTGGAAAAAATGGAATTGAAATATCAAGAGGAGGCCAGAAAACAAGCTGAAGAAAACACTGATCTAAAAAAAGAAATCAAAAGACCTAGACAAAAACTGAAAAAGAAAGGCAAGTGCACCATCCTCTGATCTTCATAGTGACTCATCATCACGTCACCCGATAGAGCATCATGTCCTCTTCATGAACAGCAGATTTCTGGATGATAATTCTCAAACAGGATCCATCAGGCCACTCTGAGACATTTCCACTTTGTGAGTATTTTTGTTAGTAGAATGTTTTTACTTTTTAATAGTCAAGTCAATACTTGAACCAAACTTCACGGTGCAGATTAAACGTTGTCTGTTTCATGGACTTAAAGTAAACTAACTTCAGTAATGTACAGATCAGTTGGTGAAGGTGTGTCTTTTTAACATGGTGTGCTATTCAGTGAGTAAATAGATGTATGAAATCAATCCTGCTACTGTAAATGTTCAATCGATATATAGCCCAATATCACACATTTTACATTTGTTTAGTAGAGAATTAAATGCAATAGAAAGGCTATTTTTACCGTTGTCAAAATGAATATTAAAGTCAGCCAGGATAATGACTTTATCTATTTTAAGCATCAAACTTGAGAAAATTCTGATAGGAATTCTGAATAAGGACCTGGGGCCCGATACACTGCAACAAGTTAGAATGGCTGCAGTGTTTTCCAGGTTGAAAGACTGAGAACAAGGCTTTCAAAGGAGTTTAGATTTTCATGTAGGATTGATAAGTAGAATCAAAGATGGCTGCAGCTCCACCGCCTGTTCCTCGAGGAATATGAGTATTAATGTGACTGGGTGGAGTGGCCTCTCATCCGTTATTTTTTTATATATTTACTGTTGTGTCTTATCTGTATTATTACCTCTAAATGTGTGTATATGTATATTTGTTTCCATATATACACGTATAAGTGGGTGTAAAGGAGTGTATGTATATATTTCTTTTTATATATTTGTATTCCCGAATAGAGGAATTGACAATACAGTTGACTTTGACTCATTTAAGCTGACATGTTGTTTGAGTATCAGCCAAGTTTCAGTGAGTGATCATAAATACATGTTATCTTTGTTGCAGCCATTTTATCTGTATGTTTTATTTGTTAATCTGTTGTAATATTCTCCTGAACACTGGGTGGTGTAGAGGAGCAGGGAAGCATAAAGGGGAGCTCACCAGGACAGGGGGGTTGATTGAAATGGTTTTTATTTTGTTTTTATATGATCAGAATAGACAGTATTGCTATTTACTCAGTGGTTTTGAGTCGAACATGTCATCTCAGTAAGTGTGTTCATGGACTTGTGTTAATTAATCAGTCACTGCCACATTTGCCAAACATTTTTTGTGTCATCCTTTGTTTTATTTACATATACCTCTCAATATGTAGAGCATGTGCGGCCACAAGATGTCGCCCTGTCTGTGAGCAGCTTGTTCTCAAAGTGTTGGGGTTTCTGTTCAATGATGTGCCATAAAGACACTTCTCTTGAAATACTGTGCACTAATCACCTTTATGTGAAACCATCATTGTAATGAATGTCCCAACATTTCTTTTTGTGTGTCAATAAGTTCTGAAGTTCATCATTTTTAGCCATGGATGTGCACTTACCTACTTATTTGTCTTTATTTATATTCTGGTATAGGTAATGTGTGTTTTCTTCTATATATTAACATGTTAGCTTATTCTGTGTTATTACATACCCTTTACCCATTTACCTGCTATGCCACTTTTGCTGTAACAATGTACATTTCCCCGCTGTGGGACTACAAAAGGATTTCTGATTCTGAATAAATACATCATTCTAATTTCATTGTGTTCATGTTACCTCATTGCACACAAATGCAATAATAGAATAATAGATTCTTCCCAGTTGTCCTGGAGACGTAATGTTGTGAATGCATGTTTAGAACATATACTTTACTTTGGTAACGTTTTGAAAACAAACCTTGAATTGTAAAAGTTTTTCTACCCTTCTACAACATTTGAAAATGTAATACATCAGTGGGGGTGTTGATGTACTGTGAGGAGAGAATGCACCCCTCGGTGGTGGTGAGAGAAACTGCAGGCTGCAAGCATTTCTAATTATCATCCAACCCTCTTAACTATGTGATTCAACAGCTTCTATATGAACCATTTAAACTGTGTGCGTCACTCAGGACATTTTTGGTTTTATGCATTCTTATTTTTCAATAATTAGAGAATGAACAACATTTTTTGTAACAGAGTTTTGATAAAAAGTCACAATTTGACTTTTTTCCTATTTCTGGAAAAATGTCAAAACTCTGACATTATTCCATTACTTGGGGAATGTATGTCCTTTAATGTGGGAGTATTTTTTTAATTTGACAATTCACAAAAATGTTTATATACAAGAGATTTTATGATTTTAAATATTATGTACATAGACTTGCATTCAAAGAGTATTTGGTAGTTATGATCAGGACTGAAATTGGTATAAAGATTTAACTCGGTGAAAGTGGTTGATAATAATAATAACATCTAATATTAGGTTCGTTTTTTTAGGAGAATATTTTTATCCTCTAAAGACATCAGAGCATTTTTTTTTCAGTTAGGTTAAGCACAAGGGGAATTTAGTCTTTTTTCAGAATTTTGGGAAAAAAAGTCAAAATTCTGACTTTTTTCAGAATTCTGCATTTACATTTTTTATTTTTGAGTTGTGACATTTTCTATAGTATTTGGTAGAGAAAAATTAAAAGAGAGAGACTCGAAATTGAGCAGAAGCGAGCCAGACAACTTCAAGAAATGGACGGAAATATCAACAAGGAACGAGAGAAGAAAAGGAGAGATGAAAAGGCAGGAAGAAATTCAACGAAAGGAATGGGAGAACAAAGTTGTGAGTGCGGTGTTGGAGCAGACTAAAGAAGAGATCAAGAAGCACAAAGAAGAATGGGAAGAGAGAGAAGCAGCTCGGATCAAACAACAACAAGAACATGAAAAGAGACGACAAGAGGAGTACGAGCAGGAAAAAGAAAAACATGAACTACTGAGAAAAGAAGAAGATGGAAAGAGAAGAGAACAGGAGGAGAAGATACAACTAATGGAGGAAAAATATGAAAAAAATGAAGCTGAAACATGAAGAGGAGGCCAGAAAAAAAGCTGAAGAAAACAAGGATATATGCAAGCGCTTGAAGGAAATAGAACAAGTGAAGAAAAGCCTTGAATATGCACTGAGTAACAAAAGCCTTAATGATGGACAGAAAGACGAAGGCGGGTGCACCATCCTCTGATCTTCACACTGACTCATGATCATCACTGAACAGCAGATTTCAGAATGATCATTCTCAACAGGGTCCATCAGGCCACTCATTGAGACATTTCCACTTTGTGAGTATTTTGCATAATCCATCCCATAGTTGTGTTTCTATGCATCATGTTTTTTAACCAGCTGTAATAGAATGTTTTACTTTTTAATTGTCAATAGTTGAACCAAACCTCGAGGTGCAGATTAAACGTTGTCTGTTTTATGGTAAAATGAATTCAGTAATGTACAGATTAGTTGGTGTAGGTGCGTCTTTATAACATGGTGTACTTTTCAGTGAGTAAATACATGTATTAAATCAATCCTGCTATGGAAAATGTTTAATTAATCAATCACAAATTATTGATGTAGCCCGATATCACACATTTTACATGTGTTTAATAGAGGGTTAAATGCAATAGTAAAGCTATCTTTATTGTTGTCAACATGAATATTGAAGTCACCCACGATAATGACTTTATCTGTTTTAAGCACTAAACTTGCCTCTAAATGTGTGTATATGTAGATTTGTGTCTGTGAAGTGGGTGTAAAGGTGTGTATGTACAGTATGTATATATTTCTTTGTATATATTTGTATTCTTTGGGATGGTGAGAAACAGAATTTCGATCCCCCTGTCTGTGTAACACAAATAGAGGAGTTGACAATAAAGGTGACGTTGACTCATTTAAGCTTGTTTGAGTATCAGCCAAGTTTCAGTGAGTGATCATAAATACATGTTATCTTTGTTGCAGCCATTTTATCTGTATGTTTTATTTGTTAATCTGTTGTAATATTCTCCTGAACACTGGGTGGTGTAGGGGAGCAGGGAAGCATAAAGGGGAGCTCACCAGGACAGGGGGATTGATTGAAAAAAAATTGTTTTGTTAGAATAGACAGTATTGCAAATTACTCCGTGGTTTTGAGTTGAATAAGAGTGTTCATGTTCATGGACTTGTGTTAATCAGTCAGTCACTGCCACTACTTAACGGCACCAACATTGTTTTGTGTCATCCTTTGTTTTATTTACATATATCTCTCAATATGTAGAGCATGTGCTGCCACAAGATGGCGCCCTGTCTGTGAGCAGCTTGTTCTCAAAGTGTTGGGGTTCCTGTTGAATGACCTGCAGCCTGACTGCTGTTTGTGCAGTGTGAATCCACTATGAGTCCCATTTCTGTTATAATCATTCATTTGTTTTAGTATCATGTGAAGTCCATTGTTGGTTCAATAAATACATCATTATAATTTCATTGTGTTCATGTTACCTCATTACACACAAATGCGTTTTTACATGTTGTTTTAAATGTTGTTTTGAAAGAGTAGAGTTTTCCCAGTTGTCCTGGAGATGTAATGCTACTAATGCATGTATAGTATAATTCACTTTGGTAACGTTTTGAATACAAACCTTGAATTGTAAAAGTTTGTCTACCCTTCTACAACATTTGAAAATGTAATACATCAGTGGGGGTGGTGATACGTACTGTGAGGAGAGAATGCACCCCTCGGTGGTGGTGAGAGAAACTGCAGGCTGCAAGCATTTCCAATTATCATCCAAACCTCTTCACTTTGTGATTCAACAGCTTCTAGATTAACCATTTAAACTGTTTGCGTCACTCAGGACATTTTGGCTTGACGCTTTCTTAACATTTTTTTTGGGAGTTTTGGTTTTAAAAAAAAGTCTGAATTTAGACTTGACTTTTTACTTTTGATCAGAAAATGATTTTGGCTTGATAAGACATAATCTTGACTTCTGACTTTTTTATCAGAATTTTTAAAATATTAGAATTAGAAAGTCAACATTTTCATATATATATAATTCCAAAGCTGGTAAAGACCTTTAAAATTTAGCAATAATTGTCATATAAGAAAAATACTGATCTAATAACAGAGATTTGTTCTTGAATCAACTTTTTTATGGAAAATATTGTATGTCATTTTATTTTATTTGAAATAAAATGAAAGACATTCACAGTTAATGTAATTAGATATACATTATTAATGCCATACGTTTTTGCATACAATCACAGTAAATATTACTTCAGTATGATAGCTGACTAACAGAAGTTAAATCAATTTCTCACTTATTCTAACAATGTAGGCTACTTATTAACCCACTAAAAGGAGTTGCTAAATAATAGTGAAGTTACGTTGTAATAACAATAACTCATCTCTCTCGTTCAGATTAATGTTTTGTTCTGCTTTGCGAAACGCCACTGTGTCAAATGTCCTATTTGTGCTGCCGTATTTACCTGTCCTGGCGGACCATCTCGCGCTTCCGCAATGCAAAAAATCGGGCAGTCAAATTGCGTAGCATGGACTTTATTTACAAGTGACAGGTGAGTACATTACTATTCTCATCATTTTAGAGCCTACAATGACATCAGTTTAATAATAGATTACTTTATTGATCAATGTTGGGAGAGACTGTTTGGCATAATGTGCGCATTATTTGATTATGGCTGCGTTGGCTGGAACAGAGACGTGTAAAGTGTGTGTACTGTATGTGCTTTTCAATTGTTTACGGAAGGCACTGTCTAAAGCCCCACGGTACGCCACTCGTAACACATTAACTTTGTACCACTAACATCACCACTATAGCTATACAAAACTAAAACATGGATTGGTAGTTGATTTCTTTTAAAAACTCATCGTCAAACCTAATGATTATACCAAACTTCTTTTCACTTATATACAGTTTATAGAAACATAGAGTAGTTTAGACAAAGTCATTGTTTCACAATAATCGAAAAATAAAATTGTCTCTAAAACAAAGATTGTTAAGAGCATGTTTTGTTTTATTAACACCAAACATTATTTTCAAACTCTCCCTAGATTCTTTAACCAAGCATTTGGTTTCCAGCTGAAGTAGATTTGGACATTACAACAGCTATAAAAACAAGATCAGAGTTGCAAGTTTACGACCCTTGGAACCACATTAACCTGGTACCACTTGCATCACAACTATAACAGATTGGAAGATGATTTGTTTTTTTAAAGCATACTCATCGTCTAACCTAAGGATTATCAATCATCTTTCACTTATATAACGTTTTTTGAA